TGTAAATTAATGCAGCAATTAATGAGTCTACTGGCGTGGGTGTCGAGCGTGAACTTTAACAAGTTGGTTGGATTGAGAAGCTGCATGTAGCACACTGGCTCCAGTGGTGCAGTCGACTTTTCGTCACGTGCGAAGGAGACCATGCTAGAGAACGATTGACCTCTGATGAGTGTTGAAACCCAACACCCACGTGATCGAATCTGGCGGGGGGAGGCTTAAACTCTGAATCACTAGATCTTGCTTTGAGCGCCTGTTTTCACAAAGAATGTAACCGCTTGGCCAAAAAACAGCCTTTCCACTAATTTGGCTTAAGAATGCTCCTGCCACACGATAACCGGCTGGGCAAAATTTTGACATTATCGAGGTTTTAATTTTCCACGGAGTCAATCAAGCAAGAACTTCAGACCGAATTAGGCCAAAGCCGCCGCCAAATGTTAATTTGAAGCAAACAGCAACTGAATTTGCAAAAGCACTACAGTTAACTAATTGCAAGGTAAAATCATGGTTAGAGTAAAAAGGCGCGGAAACGATGATAGAGGCGCGGTGGACAAAACAGGGGAAATACGCTTTCGGTGTGCTACGAATCCACGGCCCGCTGGAGTAGGCTTGGATTTACACCAGGTGAACTAGAAGTTAGAACGTGAGAGCGAGCACCAGATAAACGTGGAGACACGGTAGGACCGGTCCTTGCATGGGGGATCGATCGAGGTTGGTGACTTCGCACACACACACACGCGCGCGCGCGCGCGCGAACACCTTCACCGAACGAGGCAGCACACGCGTGTATTACGTGAGTTGTTGCATGGATTTTAAGAGCTTAGCGTCTCGCCAGCAGCAAGCAGACACACTCGCATGTGCGCGTTTGGCCCAACTCACAGTGCTCACGTACATCTTTGATTTCTAGTTGGTTTGGCTAATTCGCGACTTCAGCACCGGTCGTGGGCCCCGACAATGTTAAAGCTCTGAACGCCTCAGCACTTGTATTTGGTCGAGTTTGATGCGAATCCGGGAAAACTGACCTGTAACGCACTCCCCCAACATGGGAGTACAGATTCGCCCACTTAAGTGTAGGGAACCACACAGACCCGTGGATTGAATGCGCTCTAGTTTTGAGTTAAATAAACCTGAGTGAAGATTCAGTTGAGGCAATGGAATCTGGAACTCATGTTTGGTGATTATGAGCTGTTCGATTATGCCCAAAGCTAAGAATCAAGCTACCACGTCAAAATGTGCCAGTTGAGGCAAGGTGTAAGCTATTAGGGTGGCCTGCTAACCAAAGCGAGCTCAAGCATCACTTACCTGGGCCTTCTGTTCGGACACAGGGGGCAGCTTGCTCTCGCGAAAACTGCCGTGTATCTGGATCCGATAAAACACCAAATACAGTTCATTAAAATAGAATAACCGTGATCTACAGGGTTCCAGTTAAGACGACGCCTATGGCCAACTCGTTTTGCAGAGGGGGTGCGCGGTAGAAAGAATTAAAAAATACCTTGAGCTTGGTGGTTTTTTCGGCGCCTTTTTGTGGGCCCATGAAAGCATTGAGGACCTTTCCAGCGCCCTCGTAGACGGCACGTTCGATGCGAAGCCTGTACTTAAGTTCCGCAACCTGCTGTTGCCATGACTGCGAGGGAATGACACCGCAAGTGTACGCGCCGTTGGAGCGGCCGATTTCTGCGAGTGCAGGTGGAGGGAACCCTCGGCCGGCGGGGGTCGAACCATCCTCGGTGAAGGTCGAAGGCGACAGTGAGGAGGAGTCTTCAATCTGAGAAAGGAAGACAACACGAGACCAGGGTGAGTATGCTTACCTAACCCGTGTGAACCAACGTCTATGTGACCCAATCCAAACCAACGAAAGATTGCCCAATTGCCAGGGACTAGGGGGGCCAATTGCTGACTTGTAAAGAAGAAGCTAAGACAGTTTTGTACTGTTACTTATTAAACAAACTGGCATATTTTGGCGCATGCTTATAAGGACGGCATGTTCGCGACTACAAGCCGCTTAATTAGAAAGCTGGGTCATACGTTCAGACAGTTACGTTCACGAAAGAAGATAACAGAATGGCTCCAAAGAGGACAAACAGATTCAGCAGCATAAAACAGATTAGTTTAAGACTACCGCACACCAGTCTGCGTCGATTACTAGTTTCAGGGTCGTGTAGGGAGGTCAGTATTTTGTCCCAGTAACACCGAAATCGCAATTTTGACATTCTTTTCGCATAAAACCGAAGTATAGTGGATTGGTCATACCAAGTGAGGATGTCAACTGTAATTTCGTTCTATTTCCAAAACACGGCCTGCGATTATCGCGGCTTAATGCCTTCAGTGGCCAGCTTTTTCCTTGCTAGATTTTCATAACAATTTTATCTTATTTGTACAGCTTATAGAACGATTACTTAGGTCTTAAATGGGCCAGAGACAAGACACCTGAAAATGTATGTTGGGTAGAACCACCGATAGCCCAAGACTACCTCGAAACCCTTTAAAGTCGAACCTAACATGTAATCGAATGTGACATTGCAGCGAGAAATCTTGGAAAACTAACATACGACAGTAAAACTAATATTGAGGACTTAGAGGAAAAAAAGCACAATTTTCACCGATTGTAGGAAAAACCTGGACATTAACAACAGTAAGCAAATCAACGTACAGTGGCGTGTTTCAGTCGCGCCAACTGATTCCTAAGAAAACCAATTTTGGCCTCAGCAACCTCAACTTGTTTCTTCGCTGACTCCAGGTAAATTCGGGGACCATCTTTGTAAGTTTGACTAAGCCTTTCGGCTCCGTTGCGCACCTAAATATGAAATGAAGGCACAAGGAAGCTGTTTTACCCTAATTTCTATATCCAAGGCTTTCTGGATTGAGGCAATGACTTCCTCATTGGAAGCAGCATCGTCTTTCATTGCACGGAGAATTTCTATAAGGGTAATGTCATGTTAAAGGAACTAACCTTTGGGGAGCTTGTGACGTAATATAAGAAGGCATGTCTCCAGTTCACCAATATCCTCGGTGAGATCTTGAATCTGTTCGTTGAGTTGTTTGATGTAGGCAGACGACTTATTGCCGGACTTCTTTGATGCCTTAGGAGACACTAACTTCTCCTTAAACAACTGTTGGAGCTTGATTTTATCTTGGTTTAGCTTTTCCTGCAGTTGGCGAATCGCATCTTCTACTGAGGACTCTTTCAAACCATACTGACCAGTCAGGGCTTTCACGTATAAATCACACTCCTAAGAGAAAGTTAAAAGGAATAACCCCAGTTTACCATTACGTTTACTGCACTGAGCTAGTTCTAGTGGCCTTGTCTACAATGATAAAAAAGAGCAAAATGCATAATTCACCGAGAAATTATAAATGGCATCGATAGGAAGCATATCCATAACGACTTTCGGATACGGAAAGTCAGTTTAAGTAATAGGTAGCAATAATAATAACACTCACCAACTACACAATCGAGAAAGTGTTTAAAGAAATTTTAGCACTCAGTCATGGTTTATAAAAAAAATGTGACACATTGATGCCAATTTTCCATCGTCTTAACAAATGATACGAGGCAACCGTTTAGATGAAACCCATCAAAGCCAGAAGAAGTTAAGGTGAGTGGCGAATAAGTGCAAACAATTAAAACTCAAAACGACTTTTCTGTAAGTAGAGCGGAGTTCGGTTGATATAGAGGATGGTAGCTACAAATCATAGCGAATCAAGACTACGAACATTAAAACACCAATCACAGCCCCTTTTTTAAAAGAAAACAACTCAATTACAACAAATCATACACAGTCGCAACAGTTCAAACGCTGAGAGTGGTTACATCAGTACACTCAGGTGTTTGAATTTATCAAATTTCAAAAGCACATCCAGCAAAAAATCCCACCTTAAAGCTATAGCACTCGCATATAGTGATTACAAAACCACACTAACAATTATATAATACATTACCACTTAAAGCAAATTATGAAATCACACAATTACGAAAAAGCACGAAGAGAACAGATTTCTATTAAGGCGGCTTTGTTAACCTACAAAACACAAAGCAGTTAAACAAAACCAAATAAAATTAAACAAAATTTATATTTTTTATTAAACGTTTTTACTTGCGAAGAAGTCTTAAAATCACGCTTAATTTTGAGTATAAGAATCAAAGTCCATATACTTGTATAAGTTACGTATTGATTCCTTGCAAGCACTTTTACCTATTTATCTTAACCATTTTCAGCGGGGTAAAGCTGTTTTTGTTAATTATAAATTTTGTCAATATACATATATGACAAAATCTGATTGTACTAATGCATTAATGCTATCAACCGCCTTGGTAATTTCATTTTACTCGCGATGCTGGCAGGCTTGTTTGCAAATGATCCTTTACATAATTTCATAATACGGTTTTGGGAGATTTGATCAGCAATGTCTACTGATCAAATGAACCTAGGATTCTAACAATTCTTTTCCAAATATATTAAAATTTTGTCCATTTTGTTAAATTTACATGGTAATTATAATTAATTACATGTGACCGCCAAAAAAATGTAATTGTAGGTTATTGCATGTGATTTTTGACATTTATTTAGTATTTTTAAAATAAGTAATGCTAAAATAAGCTTGATTCCTATCGCTTCTGAATTTAGTATGCAAAATGCTCTCCAAATCCTTCAAGTGATATAAAGAAGTAAATCGCCTGTATTAAGGTAAAAACCTTTCGTCAAATGTTTAGGAAAATTATGAAGCGGACGTTTTACTTTTAAAATCTAATTGTCCCATTCTTTTTAAATGTAAATTCGAATGTCTGGTGAGGTCCATTTCTTATAATCCACTTTGAACTCAGACCTAATGACTATATCACCAATGAATGAATAAATCTGCCCGTGGAAATCATCTTAGAGAGCAGTTATAACTCAAAATTTAGAGGCAACTAGACTTTCGGAAATGCATAAGTTTTTTGTCAAGCAACATCATCCTTAGTCTGCCAAAGGCATAATTGCTTTAAATTGAATGACACTATCAGGCGAGGTCGCTCCCCAAAAATCTACCTTTCACAATGGAAGAAATCTAATTGAAATGTGCCCATCTGTTAAGTATCGGTCTGTAATGAAAACCTACATATTTAGATGCAACTTGCAGAGTTTTCGAATGCTTTTATGTCAATTTTGTACATTTGAAAATCTGGCGAGCTCTATTTTTTTCAAAATTCATTTTAAACCCTATCGTAATGACCATTTCACCAAAGAATTAATAAATCTGCCTAAAGAAATCATCTTAGAGAGTAGTTACGACTCAAAATTTAAAGGCAAATAATCTTTCGCAAATGAATAAATGTTATTGTCAAACAAAGCCATCCTTAATCTACCAAATGCATAAGTGCAAAACTAGGAATTGAATGAGACTACCAGGCGAGGTCGCTCTCCAGAAATCTGCATTTCACAATATAAAAAAATTGATTTGAAATGTGCTCATCTGTTTAGTTTTGGTCTAAAATAAAAACCTACATATGTAAATACAACCTGCAAATTTTTCGGGTGCTTTTATGTCAATTTTGAAATCTGTAAAATGGGGTTTTAGGTTTTGAGTAATGCTAGTAAATAAAAGGTCAGAAAGAATTTCAGGCAAGCTCCTGCGATCGTGTTTAAAGGGTGCTTGTGTCAACGCAACGAATGAATCAAGTTTTCACAATTTTTACTCGAGCTCCTCTCGAGAAATCATCTGGAGTGACTTCCGTCAGAGCTTTATTTGATTGTTGTGCAAAGTTATACACCACACTAATTGATGCTCTTGTGTGACACTGTCGCTCTTAAGGCAAGTACAGCCCACAAAATAAATCAACCTGGAAAAAGTGCTCCAACATGCTCTAAATTAACTTGAACCAATTTTCTTCCTGTATGATCTAACATGTCTGTTATACTCTAGAAAGGAATATGTAAACCAGAAATGTTTGTTTCGGTACTGGATTGTTCCCATGACAGGTTCTGATCCAGTGCTATTTGTCAAGAAAACCATCATTAACTTGCCTCTGAATAGATGACAGAATTAACCAATCAAAGCTACTAGTGGCACGCTGCAAACCCTCTACAATGACGTATCTTATTCCTTTTCAAGTGTTGTTACAAAGTTCTTTGTTTTTGCAAAAGAACATTTGCAGACCACCCTTAAAGCCTTTTCCTTGGTGTTCTTCACTGACTCATCGCTGTTGTAGGCTTTGCAGCAACTCGTAAGTCAAGCTTTTCGGCACGAGTGTTCCACCAATGAGGACACATTAGGTGGCCTTAACATTCTTTTGCATTACAAAATTTAATGGAGACAAAAAAGGATCCGAGTAACTTGATAATGAGGATTTATTGGCACCAACGTGTGGTATGATATGAGAGCTGCTTCCGATTGGCCAACAGTGGCATTTAAATGTGAATTAGAATGTGCGTGCATAGGCTGAAACCGATTATATTCAATGTAGCGTTTTATGTACCAACCAAAAGACCTGTTCAAAAAGCAATTTCGTAAATCCATCGTCCAACGCAAGACGCACATTTTAAATGCCAGGACTTCTACTGTCCATGCTGAAGGCTTAAAAATTGCGCAGGTGGACAGCTAATGTATGCCGCATTCGACCTTGATCTGATTTATAAGTGGGTTTAACACATAATGGGACCACTGGTGTGAATGAAAAGATGCGACTATGGCAATTGAAGTGCCTTAGGTTAGATGTGTGTGAATATAACAGCCACTAATTTCTATTCCACGAAGAAAATTATCATGAATAAAGCTGAAATTGGATTTGCAATACTAGACTACCACAATTCAAACTTCGTCCACTGTCACAATGGCTGTATTTTTTGCAACTCTTCGTCCTATTTCACAATTAAGTACATCGACAAGATCTACAAGTATTAAAAAAGAACGAAAATAGTGCAGGTACTTAAAAAAGGTAGTTTCTAGTTGAACAACTTAAAAAAACAGCCCGAGTTGAGTATTGGAGACTAGTGATTCCCTTCTTTTGCATTCCCAAAACGTTCTCAGTTTTCAAATTAAAGAAGGTGAGTATCCCAGAGATCATCCTTTTACTAGACATGCTAAGTATGCAAGTAAACATTGACTACTGGCTAAATGAAGAAAAAGGCTTTAATGTGAGCCCGTTGGGTGACGTCCACACAATCGCATGAGGAAACTGGAGATACCTAGTGCAAGACGGGAATCATTGGGGTTTTGTGAGTTGATAAGCCTGCTACTTTTCACTAGCCATCTAATTGACAGTGTCCCTTTCCTCTTACGACAGTTTGCTCGTAATACATTAATCATTTGGCAAAAAAATTATTTATGTAAGGCTAGCACCCAGCCAAGTGACGATTTTTTTTCTATTTACTGTAGCGGTTGCCAAAATACGTTGCACTCCAGGGTGACGACGTGGTTTTAGTTTACGTTTAAAATGTCTAAACTATTTCGTTCTGATGCCTCTCCATAAGTAGAAACATGGAAAATTGATGTCCCCTGATGCCACTAGGTGTCAATGCAAGATTTACAACCAAATCTTTACCGAAGTGTCCTGATGTGTAACACGAGTAACCAATTAAAAAAAAGTAACAAATTTCAAGTTGGCTTCTTGCCTGCAGGCAAATCAGTGTCAGCGTTGGCGTGGTTTTACGATAAAATTGTTTACAAACCAAATCAATGTAATCTTTAACGTAGTTCAACCCATTTTGCAACAACAATTGCTGTCCAACACATTTTAGACAACAAGCCTTATGCTCCACGTGGTAGTTGGCATGCCAACGCACTCGTCACCCGCAAACGGACTCATTTTAATTGTTTATTGATTTAACCACCATTGAAGGTCTCAAATTATCTGACCTAGATTTTGCCCCACGAGATGAAGCCATCTTAAGGCACCATTTGTTTTGACCCAGAGGCTGACCTGAAAACAGGACAAGCAAAATCAGCATGGGCAGTAATATATTGAAGAGTTAGTATAACCTCCTCGCATTAATTCCAGCCAAGCACGTGAACATTTGACAACCATTATTGTGACCGCATTCAACCCAAATGCAAATTTGGAATTGCTTGTTTACCTTAGGAAAACGCGCCTTTAGAAAAGATCAATTTCTCAGCTGAAACCATTTGAAAGCCTCCCTGAATTTGTGTTTGTCGATGGAGAAATTTTTTCCGAAAATTGATCTAGTACAATTTGTCTTGAAATCTGCTGGAGTTCCAGAACGCCGTTTTATGTAGCAATGAACAACTGCCCTCGGTTCCACTCGCAATTTGATAATTACTATCTTGGTGTTGGAAAGTACCGCATGGTCTGAAGACACTACCTCTTTACTAATTTTTAGTTCCTTCGTGCCTATTTCGGTGAAGTTAGAACAACAACGACATCCCGAAACTCTAAGAAAGCGTGCGGGTCATCATCTGCAGTAAACGTTAATTAATATTGCAAAAAATTATTGCAATTGAAAGAGCCATATGAACGTTTGAATTTTTCGCAAATTGAACAAATTTCGAGATTAACAGGCACAGTAGTGGGGAAATTCTACAGACATAATTGAACTGCTTTGGAGCATGGCAATTTTAATTGACTCTCCAGCATGGACGAATGCGAAAAGGCTTATCATCTTTATTATCTGCTCAACGCTAGTTTGAAGGTCCTGCAGCCATTGGTCGAATGGGCATGCTACTTTTGGGGACAAATTAACCAATCAAAACGGGGAATTCGACATCTCATGCACGCCCCGAGAATGGACGTGAAAGTGATGTATGAAATTTAGAAAGTGTTTAATTTTGAAACCTTTTAAGGAATTTAACATTAAGTTTACCTAGTGAGCGTCTAGTTAATATAGGTACTTAAATTCAGCGAATAATGTAGACAAGTGCTGGTGGAGAGATTTGGTACATAATCTCACGCATTAAATCGGCTGACGAATTCGTTAATAGCCATCCGAAAGATTATTTACCCAGTTTAAAACACCCTAACCTGGGCCTCAAAAAATACATTATGATATCAGGAAAGGAGGTCGGTTGAGTCATTTCATTACCGGAAAAATCAAACTAGTTATCCTATCTGGCGGGGATTTTATAGCTGTTCATTATTTAATTACCTTGTACCCTAGTAGTTAATAAAAAACCTAATTTACTGTTTGAACATATGAGAAAAACACTGCAGCTGCTGTCAACGATTTTTATACACTCCTTATGGGAGTCGATTGTCTATTTTTTCGTAGAGATGTAGTCGTTATTGATGCTAATAACACAACCAGGCAACAACGGCTGGAAATTTGTACCCACACAATGCAATTCCTTCTGGTTCTATTTCGTAAGCGGTATTGAAGGTGACAAACTGCGTAGATGCTGAATAATACCCTCGAATACTTTCGATATGGTGTACACTAACAGAGAAAACGCAGCATCACATGTACCTCCAGCCAACTAATCATAACGCGGTCGCTGTTAATGCATGCAGGATAGACTATTTCGATTGGTTGGGACACAAACAGGCGCGTATAAAAGCAGGCGTATGTGCAGGCCGTAGCAAGTTTAGCCTTCTGTTGCAGTACGACGATGTCCTCAGCCGGTTAGTCAACAATTTTTTATCTTGCAATTCTGGGAGTTCCAGCCCACTGAAGAAATACCTCATTATAATCTTTTTAATAATCTCTAGTATTGTACAAATCGTGTTTATCTCTAATACTTGCGATTGTAAAGCTAGAGTTGGCTTTTGATTGACGGGATAAATTACAGAACACTTGATTTACCATAGTTCTCTACTCACAAAAATATATTTGCTCTTTGTACTGCCACGATGGTTACAACTAACGACTCTACGGTGGTTCTTGCACTACTGTTACACTGAACTAAAATGCGAGGATTAAACTAACGCCGATTCCTTTTCTTTTGCAAACCAGAATCTCACATGCACCATCACGAGCACGGATCCGCTGATTGCAAGAAGACCTGCGGTGAGGCTGAGAAGTGCTCTACTGGATGCCACAAGCAGGGCAGCGGACACGGTGGTGAGAGCTGCGGCCACGAAAAGCCCGCCGATTGCACCCAGAAGTGTCACACCGATGAGAAGAAACCGGCTGGAGATTGCAAAGGGTGCTGCAAGTAGCTGAACCCACCTTAAACTTTTAATCATCGTGTTCTACTCTGTTGTATTCGATAATAAATATTGGTGTTAGCTGACATCTTGGTCATGATTACGGGAAGGGCATTGGGGTTTTAAAATGAAGCATCGATTGGTGGTAAGGCACCACCTCTGCCTTCACTATGCCGTTTAAGACTACAAAAAAAACGGACCATAAAGACGGTGTTCATCTATCTGACATCCAAACGAAGCCTGCATTTTGAGTGAGATGGACTCCTGCCAAGGGCGCACAAAAGGCGCGAAAATGATTTACCAGTGAAGGCGGGGTTGAGGTAAATTTTCCGTGATCCAGCGTGAGTGAGGCCTGTTCACGAGTTGGTCGAATTTCATCGATTATCGATCGCAGGTGGCGTTCGATATTCAATCACGCACTCTGCTCTCAGAGCCTTGGGTGGTCTAGTGCAAATAGAGAGTTGTATTCGCTATCGCCTATTGTGTCTCTCTTCTCAAATACCTGCAAGTTTGTGAGGTGGTGGCAACAACGCCACTAGAGGGCGGTGTAGCGTGTGTTCCATTGTACCCACACAATTGGTACACATCAACGTGGACCGGAGTCGCCAAATTTATGTCTTGCCTGCAAAACCTATTGTGTGTACAATAACGTACAATAATGTCGGAAGACCAGTTGGTTTAGGCTATTTTGAGGAAATTCCACAGAGCCTCACTACGCTAAAAGTTATAGACGGTCACTAAACAGGCCTAAAATAACGATTTTTGGCAGTGTGAAGTCGCAATTTTGTTGCTCTTAAACTAGTTTAAATTGTTAGGCATCACAAGTGGTCAAGGCCTATACAATCCCTTGAATAGGACACAAAACGCTTTCATATAGTTGTCAAATTTGGACTGTTACTTTTTGGATGTCCAGCGATAACCTTGCAGTGGATTTTCAAACTTTCAAGTCACTAATTAGATGGATAGGTGCCTGATTTTGCTTCAGAAAGTAGCTGAAGTACCTTTCTCCACAAGTTGACAGTTTACCCAATTAAAAACACTGCTTTTCCTAATAACATTGTTTCGATAATTAATTTCTTTTGCGGAGTACACCAATGTGTTACTTTGTGTTCGACCTCGAAACGGTCAAATGTCGATTTCCCATACAAACAGCTTAAAATGGCACCATTTAGCGATTTTTGGGTGGTTTGCATAAACGTCGTCATTTTAACCAATTTGAAAATTAACTATTACACACCAAACTAGGCATCCACAGAATCCACACTCACGGCACTATTGAAATAACTTATGTGAGCACCCTACGTAAAGCAAAATAGTGTGATCCAGTGTGTGGAGGTCCGGAATTTTCGATCCACATCGTAAATGCTGCCGAAATGGGTGACACACGGATCGTCAATGCTTTCAATTTGTGCTTAACGCGCGTTTGAATAATGGCTCTGAAAATTTGTGTTTAAAATTCGAAATCATAAACACAGATAAAAAAAATTGTAGTAAACAAATTTGTCAGTTGAAATGAAGGCGTATGCTTCATTTTAAACTATCGAAGTTCCATAAACAAAGGCATCAAAAATTAGCTTGTTCGAGGCTGAACACTGACAGAAGTCACACATTTGAAGGATGAAGCGTGTGGCTGCCTGTATTTTCAACTTCCAACCGTCCAGAATCGACAGATTGTCTTTCAGTTAATAGGAACCCACTTGAAGTTAGTAATCTGCTGCTAACTAATGCAGCCTTATTCGTTGTTGCTCAGCAGTAAATGGACTATTCCAGGAACCGACTGCTATTTGACAATTTAAACCACATTCAACTAAAAATCTGTCCTTCTTCGTTGACAAAAAGAGCAGAAGCCAAAACCACACCTAAGACGCGAATATTTTCTATTTGAATTGCTGAAGGGTTTAATTATACACGCGCTTAACACGTTAAGGTATCAGATCTAGGACAAGTGCAGCACTGTGTGTATTTTCTGAAACGCGACAGCCTAGAATTGGCCAAAAAGCCCGTTTGGCTGTGAATCCCGATGAATAACTCGTCTCAACTCAAACGCACACTGTTGCCCCGCCATCTCACCCACGCCGGCACGTCGTATCACGTGAGCGCACCTCCCCGTCGCCTCCATCGGCCAGCAGACCTTGTGTGCCAGGGTACGCGACATGGTACCGACAACTCGCAAATGTCCAGCAGGGTTTGGTGGTCTGGAAACATAATCTTCGGTTTGCTTAATCCCCTTGACTGTATGCATGGTTCCAGGTCTCATCAAAGTGGTGATCCCTGCGTAATGATCTGGACAATCCCTGGTGCTCCATCAGAGAGTCGACTGAATGTCACCCAACGTCGAAGCCAGGATGGATAGCGTAGTCAACGTGGAATTGTCTCGGGCGGTCCCGGTACTTGAAATTTGGCAAGTAGTCCCTGTTTAAACTCTTCATTTAATTCACCTAAGAATGAATGACTTGTCGTCTCTGTAAAGGGCAAAAAAGTCTGTGTGAATTTTGGCCATTATTCCTGCGAAACCCTCAACTCCTCCCAATCACACAGGATCACGTGAGTAGTCAAAAATAACATGTATTTAATCAAATCGAAGCAGATTTATTACAGATTTATTGCTTTAACATGCACCAAATTAGGGGAACGACGATGATGACACTTGTTCAATTAAATTAGTTAAATTTTCAAAAAAAGCACTATTTAATGGGTCGGTAAGAGTAATTTGAATGGTGCGACATTTGCACTGATCACATGACAATGCAGAAGTTCATCCTACCGTCTTCGTTATTGAATGAGAATGATTTAGCCTGATCTGTACAAATATCAGATGCAGATAATCGGGGAATAAGTTTTAATTCGCCATATTTCTCCATTTTTGAGGTATTTATGAGAATAGTGTGTTTGTTGAATTCAGCGATCAACAGCGGTGGTAATTTCCTGCAGTGTCTCACAAAAGTAAAGTGCAGATGTCAACCGTTAAAAAAAACCCCAGTGGTGTGGAGCTCGCCTACTCGTCTGGGTCTTGGATTTTATATTAAAAAATACGAAATTTTTGTTTATAACTTGGGTTAATCAAATCAGTTGGGTATGTGACCTGTTGCGATAAAATGTTACTGTTCACCCCCATTGTAAGTTTGGGTGAATACAAGCGTTTGAATGGACAATTGGATTGGTCATGCTATTACCATAGGAACCTTTGTTGTAATATACTGGTTTTGTTGGAACACAATTCAAAATGCCCAATTATAATGAGCGAATGTATTTACTGTTTATTCCACTATTTGTTTTTAGGATAACCGCTACTAAAATCTACTGTGCTGTTCTTCGATTTCGGCGCCTATATCACCATTGCTTATACTGGTGTTATTTACCGTCTTTGTGGTAAAAATGTTGATAAATGATTGCAAAAAAACAATTTAACAAAGCCAGCGTTTTCAGATTTTTTGTCACTTCAAAGGTGCATTAGTTTCCCCAAAAAAGCACCGTGGATTCGACCAAATATTTATCAGATTTAGCTCATTAAAAGAAGTGATGTTTAGGGTTATTTTGCATTGATAGAAGTTAATCTTATCAAAAGTTTGCGGCTGAGGAAACATGATATCTTCTAGTTCATTATATAATCCTCGTAGAACTAAAGTCTCAAGTTTAGTAGCAAATTGACACCTGACAGTACTCTCAACCATAGGCAATATCGTAGCCTCTAGTCTTTAACCGTGGCATTGTGTTCTAAGGCCATATTTCAGGCTGAAAATCGGTCAACACTTGTCCCCTCACACCTCAGCGAATGGTGATGGACAAACATTGATCACACGAGTACCCTTGGTGCACCAGAAGTTTACAACCACCGCCTCTGAACTTTCCAACACCTCCGTAAACGCTCTTGTCATGATTTAGGAGGGCCTTGAAGGTGTGTCGGAGAGAAGGACAGGAAACTAGACACGGGTGACTCACTGCTGCAGCGCGTAAATCGGCGCACCGGACGCTACAACACACACGCACATGTCAGTCGGGCTAAACGGTGTTAGCTGGAGTTTGCACGCAGCCCTCAACACTTCGCGTCGCTAGCAGTGAAGGATCGTCGTGGGGCAGGCTGTGGGACAGTGTGCAACAATGGCCTGTAGCAGAAAATCGGTGTTACGTGAAGTTAGTAAGATGCTGGTATGAGTAACAATAGCATAGGCTCAATATCATTACTAACTCTACAATGGTACTACCCTTTAAAACAACGTTAGAGGTAACCTAGATATTAGTGAATGGCTTAGTGGTAGAACCTTATCCAATTAACAACCTAAACCACGTCCTTATTTATGTCAATAGTAGTTAGACAGCTTGACCCAGTCCTTAACTGGGGCGCGATTCCAATTATCCATCTGGTTGGGTGTCAGTAAAGCGGCATTGTTAACCGGCGACAACAACTGCCTCGTGAATATTTTGCTCCGGAGTGTCCAAAATCCGGTTGGCCGCGATTCATGCCGGACAAATTCACAAACACTCGCGACTGAAACAATAAAACCCAGCAGAATGACTCCTGAGCTTGAACCCCACCCCCCCCCATTCTTAAAACCGGCGAAGTGAGTCATTTTAGCGTTTGAAGTCGAAGTGATGTTGTTTTGGTATCGGAAGGCACTTCACTTGTACCAGCGTCAATCGCCAGAATATTATTAACCTCACATCAGGAGAAGCCAAACAAGGTTGACCAATCAAAATACGCCTAAGCCGTTGACATGACTCTGTGACATTATTGACAACAAGCTACGGTGGATAAGCCCCCCCTCATGACAATTATTGTGTCCGCCGTAAGGTCCAAGTATCAAAACTAACCAGCCGCAGAGATTTGAGGTGATACTAAAAGCAGGGCGTTAGGACGGTGAGTGAATTACCAACTGACTGAAAATTTGACCGTTCGGAAATCTGTAGTGAATTGTGCTGATTCGCGTCCACTAACTTGGTCATCGCATCCTCCGCCATCTCCTGTCCTTCCTGATGTTCACGGGTAACACAGTAGGGCAACCTGTCAGTCCTGAACCATATGCTACCAATCAAGGGTAACTCGGCATATTTCCCGAATGCAGTTCCCATTTAAGTGTAAGAAATGCCCTTTTCGACATTAGATTTGACACTTACAGAATGGGTTGTTCATAATTACTGACGTTAAGGCTGTCACAATCAGAGGTAATTGAGTTAATTGTAGCGGCTGCGGAAGTGGAAAGAGGGCTTACCCGTTCACACCTTCGAAATGTGATTATTTAATGAAGCAAATGTCATCTACGAAGTGCGACAGCTCCCATCAACTTGGGGGAAAGCGAAATTTCCGTACAATCTTGATTATGAGATACTGACGTTTTTTTTTCACGAAAATGCACATGTCAGGACACATCTTGTCCGGTCTCGAATTGTTCAGGGCACACCCTTGCGGTCGTTTGTCGCTTGTTTTCTTGCAAGCACAGAGGTACAATCACAAAACTAGGCAGGATACCGACCTTATTTTAAATCCTAATTTAGATCACGGCAGGATTCTGAATCTGGATCTCGAAATCCAGAACTTGGTAGATTAGAAACGTTGATGGCGTCTGTACTTGGCTTTTTGATAAAAAAATTGAGTTCAAACTCGATGGTATAAATTTCAGTGTTTGTTTTATTGAGCTGTCGCGGTCACTGCCAAATCCTAGTTTGTGGTGTCAGCTAAATGAATTTTCGACAACCTTCGTAAACATCCCAATGATCGAGAAGATTATGACGCAAAGAGTAAGTCTTGGTGTGAGTAAGGCCTTCCAGTGAGGCTTGGCAGGTTACCTAAACCAGCAATTCTGAATTCGTAGCTGCGCTTGTAACTACAATCGACAATCATCAAGTTTTCCGCACAAAATACAATGAGAGGATGTGGCCAACTGTGTGGACTCCGATGGCCCAACACTTCACTAAGAGCCTGTTGTCATTCGTGTTTATTCACACCCCTTAATCCGGTCGCTCCACCTTCGACACAGGGTTCCTCTTTTCGCAGCATGTCGCCAGCCGCGCGGATCCCCAATTCCCCCCCCCTCACTCAAACGGATACTTATATTGGATTATTCCCCCACCTAGGTCTCGATGTTAGAGCATGTATGACTCACACATCCGAGGCATAAATACACACGCGCAAACGACAATAACGTGGTTGAGCTCTGAAGTAAACGGTTGTGTCCACGTCCTCTCCGGTCCTTTTCTTCATCGCGGGCATCAGGGAAGCATAATCGGGCCAGGGTCAATTCCGTGGCCCCGGCGTGATTCAAGACCACATGCTGGGGCCCACAACAAACCAATCAATAGGAGATAAAACAAACAATTGCGGTACACTTTAGCTGTAATTAACAATGACAAGAGGAACTGCAAAAAGCATCTTGAGGGCAAAGGGAAAGGGAGTGAAATCACATTTCTGCGGGAGGGGGCGGGGGTGGGCCAGCAGTGGTTGCGGTGGGTGTGCTACGAGGCGCCGTACTCTTGCATCCACTTCTCGTACTTTTCAATGTCTGCGGCCGAGACGGACTTGGAGACGCGGGAGATGGCCTCCTCGAAGTCGCGCATCCGCGTTGGCAGATTGAGGTCCGCGGTCCTGAGGCCCTTGATCTCCTCCACGGAGAGGCCTTCGATGGCCCTTCGCATCGACATCATCGAGGCGTCCCTGTGAAGCAGAGCAGACAGCATTGAACATTTCGCACGAGACTACGCGGAGTTCTTGCGCACTGTCAGCATATGCTAATTAGATTGACGGTTTTGGACTTGAGCCAATTCGCAGCGCTATGCGGTATTTAGGGCATTCCATGGAATTAATTGCTCCAGACCAATGGTCCTAGTCAGAGACCCAAACCCGTTACACCGAAACACGAGACGAAGCTCTGCGAGGCTGAACACACTCCAGCCGAGTGAACATTATAAACACGAGTGGAGTCCCAGCGTCGTAGTTGACAAAAAAGTTTACTTTAGCGTAATCACACTACAAACGCCCTGGAAAGCTTCCACGCCTTCAACGCAAATAAATCACGCTCAGGCTGTGCTCTAAATTTCAACCCATAACCAACAGGTAGTTCAGTTCTTTGATAGAACGCAAAAAGGCTGACTTTGGAAGTTGTCTTTTTCGACTTTAACTCACGGGTGCTGTGATGGCAGTGCCCAGAACGGTCGTTTGCTTTTGCAGGCCCTGTCTACAGGTGAGGCGAACTACGCCTCAACACGAAGAGGAGTGGCAATGCATTGTCTGCAAATGTCTGCTTGCGTTCCTGTGCAAGCCCCACCACCACAAACCTCGCATTTCTAACCGGATTATGACAGTGAAGCCAAAGGACCCCCCCCCCTTCCTAACAGCTCAGATATCGTGGCGATTTTGTTTGCCAAAGGAAGATCTACATGTCCCAAGCCACGCAGATAAAGTGACTGCACACACCCTACCACAACCTCCTCTGGTCTGTTAGCCCACTACGTACCAACCCGTTTACGATGCATGCTAGTTTTGGGGTCGTACTGCATCCAATTCACAAAGCAGTCACAATTTCGACCGCGGTTTCGTCAAACTAAACGTACTATATTACAGGCAGTTCATGAAACGGCCTAACTTTAGAGTGTGTTGATAGACTTTCCAACCTGTTGAAGCACTCAGCTCAGCCGCAAACAACACTTGTAGACAGACATGGGTCTTGTGCCAAGCTTTCGAATCGATTAGGAGGGGAATACTTCAAGAACGCCAGGAAACCGCCCCCCCCTCACCAAGTGAAAGATGATCCAGTAATTAGTGGCACCACGCGAACTGACCTGCACACGTTGGTGATGTCAGCGCCGGAATAACCGTCCAACTTCTCGGCGATTTCCTCGAAATTCACGTCGTCGTCCAGGGGCACTTCACGGAGGTTGATTTGCAGCAACGCCAGGCGTCCAGTAACTAGGCAAGGCACCAGAGGTAAACGTGGAAGTTCATCAAAAAGGCTATGCTAAACTGATTAGCAAAACATAAGTGACGGGGAAACCCGAACCCAGCTTATTTACGGGCATAAAGACGTTGAGAGCGTGGTTTCAGCATTATCAAGGCAGTACAAAATGTGACTAGCACACTGCGCTCTCCGAGATCGTGTATTTTTCGTTCTTTGGAGTACACCAAACTGTACCGAATGTGCGCAGGTGGTTCTTTTTCACACAAAACGAGGTGTATCGAAATCTCGCTTGGTCGGGCTTAAAGAAAGAGAGCGGAGGTCGTCTATAACACCCTACATTCGTACAAATTGACATTTGAGTCGCACGAGCTCTACCGAGGCGTGATATAGCTGCCAGTCCCACTATCTCCTAACCTAGGATGTAGTGAGTGTGGAAAGGACGCGGTCCAGAGCGCGTGGGTGGAAAATTACTTCCGGAACCACTCGAGGAGACTTAAGCGGACAAACGGCGTTGCACTTCCGGCAATTACCCGTCCACCGGAACAGGCACGAACACCTTCCGAGTGGTGCGATGATTGCCAACCGAGTTACCCTCTGAAGTGAGTGCCGCGTTTACACCAAGCTCCTGACCACACGCCCCCTCCCCCCCCACCTCCCCCCTACGGCCATACTTAATAAACAAACACTGTTGCTAGGACATGCCTAATCCCGTGGACCTGGTTACCGTGCCTTATGTACCTCGTTAGGCTGATAGTAATGAGTTAAAGTTTACCGACAAATACACCACATTATTTGAATGTCATCTAATTTGATGGCCAGGGCTACTACTTAAAGGTAAATTAGTAGCAACTGTTGCCACAACGTATTGCCAGCTTGGGGTGCTAAAAATGATTGCAAGTGGTTGAAGGCGCCTCAAACGAGAGCAAGTTACATCATTGGACGCGTTTTGAGCCAATCAAAGACGGCTTACTGCTAGGTAGGGGGATGTAAATGCGCTTTTCTAGTCGGCGTCGCAGTTTACTGACAAATACACCACACTATTCGATTGTAATCTAACTTGATGACCAGACCTATCGACAAGTGCTTGATAGCACCTCAAACACGAGTTTTCATCGAGAAAGTTACATCATTGGACGCGTCTTGAGCCAATTAAAAAAACGGCTTACCGCTGGGCAGGGGGATGTAAATGCGCTTCTCCAGTCGGCGTCGCAGTGCCTCGTCGATGTCCCAGGGAAAGTTTGTGGCGGCAAGAACCATAACCGTTTTTGTTGGGTCTTCCTCCTGACCGACTGCTCCACTGACGCCTTAAGGGGACACACAAATAGGTCGTTTTAAGGGGTTCTGGCAGTGGAAGACGAAGTTTCAGGCGAACTGAATGTGAGCATTGAGGTAAAAAAAAAAACACAACAACAGATCTTGGTGCGTAAATTCGACGACAACACAGTGAGCAAGTAGTTAACTTTGGGCCTTAAAAGTATCTGCACCCAATTGAACTTTAAACCCTGCTACAGGCTTGCCTCAGACGTTTTTTTTACTAGAAGAAAGACATTTGAACTTTGCTCCTTGGTGTCTTGGTTGCATTGTAAACAGTTCCACCATGAGTGGATGTAGACAGTGAAATTAGGAACACAGCCTCTTGTGTAACACCTACTAACTTTTTATCAGTAGGCGTGCTTACCATCCATTTGAACGAGGAGTTCGGACTTGACCCGCCTGGAAGCCTCGTGCTCAGACTCGCCGCCGCGTCTCGAACAGAGCGAGTCGATTTCATCGATGAAAATGGTGCTCGGGGCGTAAAACCGAGCCATGTCGAAGAGGATGCGGACAAGCTTCTCCGACTCGCCGCGCCACTTACTGGCCAGGCTCGAGCTGGAGACGTTGAAGAAGGTCGTGCCGCATTCCGTTGCCACAGCCTTTGCCAGCAGCGTCTTACCTGTGCCAGGCGGCCCGACCATCAAGACACCCTAAATTACGTCACGTCGTGTTATTGTAGTTAGTCTTCATAAAAATATTCAAAAATCAAAGTTATGAAACAGTAATGGTACAAGCCTTGAGTCGATACACCTAAAATGGGAAAGCTCGCTTATGATACGAAGGTTACGAAGTGAATCGCAGCCCAACAGTGATGAGTTAACTTGGTGTTTGTCAAAAAATCGATTGAAATCGATTATCCAGTGGGAACGTACAATAATCTTTCAAATTGAAATGGTATTGTGCATGATCCGTGGTAAGGAATTAAAAAGAAAATTTATGTGAACAGGCTTCCATTTCGGCTCGAGGCAGTTATCATCAGCATCATAATGCCAGAACTACAACTAGACAGGAGACCAAAGTAATTTACTCCATGAATAAGTGACCACAACCGTTCACCTTATCCTGCAAATCTCAACGGCACACAAAATCCCCGAAGGGAACGGAAAAATCAATTCCATCTTTTCGTACTTGGTACACAGGCCAAATAGACGTTCTTATGTCAAAGACGGGCTTCAGAAAGACTGAGAACACCGAAGTAATGATTACAAAGGCGCTGTCGCTCATTAAGTACTTTGGCATTTCTCAAACGACACACGGTTTACAAAAAAGTATGATATTTGGTAAAAACCACTAGTGTTTTACAGCTGCTTAAAAACCAATTTTTCACGATACTATAATGCACCAGGGTAAGTAAGCAGAAATACAAAATGATCGAAACGAGTAAAAGAAACGGTGTGATCTAACCTTCCAAGGTCGCCTGATTCCTTTAAAGTAATTAGGCAACACCATAGGAAGAACAACAGCCTCTTTGAGAAGGCGTTTTGCATCTTCCAGCTCCGCGATGTCATCCCAGCGCACAGCTGGGTTTCTCTGAAGAATGTCCTTTTCGAGCATCTCAACGAGATCTTTATCTGCACCGGAGGCGTCGTAGGTTCTTTCGCCACCTACCTCCCCTGAGGCAGCGGCAGAAGACGTGTTCAGACCGCTTCCCTTGGCAGCGCTTAAAGCGCGCCCACCACGTTTAGCTAAATAGGAAAATGGGCAGTTGAGTAGAAAGATACGCGGTGAAAGGGTGCATAAAACAGAAAAACTTACCGGATCCGGCTTTAGAGGGTCCTCTGTTGATGATTTGAGCACCGGAATTTCGGGGGCCCTCCTTGGGCAGTCTTCGATTGGCAGGAGGTCGGGTTGCGGGAACCGATGCGAACCCACCAGACGGTTGCAATCGCCGTTGGTCCCCGAACGGAGGCGGTAACGGCGGTGGCGGCGGCCACACACCAGGATCCCGTGTTGGCTCCTCTGAGGGGTCGTGGGAAAGATGGCCACTGTTTGTTTTATCTTCCAGTGTAAAACTAGCAAGGGTTTTACAAATATCTGACACAAGTTCAGACTCCTGCATCACCTCCTGTTGCACCTAAAGAAGCACAATAGATGGTACATATGGCCAGGAGAGAAAAAATAAAGTATTAATTACACTTACTTGAAGCCACTGCTGTTTCCTTCCATATTCCTTGATAGTGGTTAAATGCTTCTTGATAAGGGCCAAGCCACAAGAGTAAAAGGTAAGGGCACTTTCATAATTACCCAAAAGGCTAAGCTCTCGTGCCTGCCTAATATTTGAAGAAATGCTAGAAAGACTACACATAGCGGCTGGCTACGAAAAACCCGCCTACATTGAACAAGCCGGTGTTATTTTGAAAAAGAAAAACTACCTAACAAATAGCATTGGATTACTGCGTCGTTTTTGATGACTTAGGTGTATGCTTAAAGGGCACCAAGGCGACTATTTTTAGTAGTTTTCCAAATAAGCTGATCCCAGTATATCAGTCCTTTATTAAAACACAGAAGTTTGAATCCCATGATTTTGCAGTATTATTTTTGTATTTTATCGAACACTAGTATGCAAGTCAATGTAAAGCAGTTTTACATGTTGCTGACGTAAAAAAAACACAAAACATCTATTCCTTTCAAATAGTCACACAACTTTTCCAGTATTCAAAGCACAACTGTGCACATTCCACCTGTAGTGAGCAGCACGCGAACGAAAATGATTCAATTGATTTACGCGAATGAACTACACCTAACTATGTTCGTTCAGGGATCGACGCTTAGCAAGGCTATATAAACGTACACACATCGCTGCATCAATAAATTAGTTGAGCTACGAGCCGTTCGCATTTTCTGCTCTTTCGGTCGAGCCGTGTCAGTGCAGATTGTCGGCCCCGGTGTGGTTTCTAAAACCGCACCAGGGCCCACTACACACCCCTATTTATTAATATGAGGATAAATTCCTTGAAATTTACTAAATAGTTTCACCTCTAGTGTGTGTAGTTTTCTTGCAGGGTCCGTACTTTTCACTCAATGTTGGGAACAGAATGTTAAACCAAATAGATCCCTTTAAAAGTCACTTAAGCACTGAGCTTTTTAATCCATGAGTTCCGTAGTTTAGTCACCTGACCTGATATTCTAACTTGATTTTAATAAATGTCTCATGAGCAGTTTGGGCAAATTAGTGTGACTTTTGCCAAAATATTCATATGTAAGTCACATGTCCACCGTTTAATTTAATATAATGAAATTTCTTTTTCTCAATTTCTGATTCGGGATTTCCTAATCATTTGTTCTTCCGCACTAATATGTTGACGTTACCACCAGCCGTCTGTGCATAAGTTGATCGTGGTCGGCGCGTAGGTGGTGTCATCCTGTTGATTTAATTTCTGACGTCCGTATTTAACTGCTTCTCACATGAAAATAACAAAGGAAGAGGAATTGCTCTTGGAGCAGTATGGCCGCACACCGTCAAACAAGTCAAATAAACTTATTTACGTGAACGCCTTGTTGGTCTCCTTGACACCTATCTGTAAGCCTCTTAATTGCAAACTACTTTGTGTGTCTCGAATGACATGGTCACTGTTCTGAAACAATGTTTCAGAGACTCTTCTTTTTTGTTTTTTTATTCACGCTTAAGTCCCGATTCTAAGAATAGTATTATATGATGTTAGGCTGGTCTATCTGTAGTATTTACACTTGATGAATCAAAAACACAAGTTTTTTTGTTCGCAGATGACGGTGCTGCACTATTAATCTATTTTAAACAGTAATTAGGAAGAGATATTGACCTGTCAAATTCAAATACCGTTACTTGTTAAATTTTTATACTGCGCTTGCCCCGACTGGGCACCGTCATCTGTAAGTAACCGGTCGTCGTTTACGCATGAATTCTGGTTTGCATTAGTCTTCATTACTTTTATTAATTCTGGGTGTTCTAATTCGGATAAACCATCTTTACCGTAATGTTATTGGTAATTATGCTTTCCCAGTTTTGCCTATTTCACAATTATATGTCTGAAGAAGATGGCGTCTAAAACCTGCCCTCGTACCCCTAATTCAATTGCGTAATCTTACGGGTTTTGATAAAACGCTTCTTTGGTTCACTTTCTAACGAAATCATAATTAGGTAGAGGTTGAGGAAACAAGTCTGAGGTGTTCTAGAACGTTAATGCGTTGTTCATGTGTATTAAGAAAGGTGTATGTTTTGTTAAGGTGTAAGGCGCCCAGATATACATACTAAGTGTTACACGTAGCATCAATTTCTGCTTTCTAAATGTAATTCAGTTTTGTTTTGCACCTAGGGCTATACTGGCGCATACATGAAATGGAACTTATCCCACACTTGATTCTTTTTTCCATATTCACCGGCCTTGCGACCTATTTAATTTCTTGTGCCTACACTAACTCGAAAGCCCCACTGATGGAAAGGTGTGTTGAATTCAACTTATCAAGTTACTTGCAGGATCGCCATCATCCGTACTGATGCAATTACTCAGGAGATTCTAAAACAACTAGGAAACGATAAGAAGTCCTCCAAGAAGGACAGGGATGATATGTAAGCTGGTGTCTTTTTTAAGTGCTTTAGGATTCGACAAAAAACAAAGGATGTTGCTGACTACGAATCGACAACCTTCTCGATCTTCTATATCAACGCTATTTTTATTCTTATTGTAATGATAACCTCAACCATTCTCCATCAACTTTCTGATCCAGTGTAAGTATGATGAGTCGATACTCTGCTTGTCTTACTCGTCAGTAGTATTGGAATGCACCTTTTTGGCTCTAATAGCACTTGGGTTCTTTGTTCAACTTCAAAAATTTAGGTAGCCTCGTGTGTTGTCATTAAGTTCTTGAAGGGTAACTAACACCTTACCCTTTTAACTAAGCTCTTTGTTTTCTTTACAGGAATTATGCGTTCTCTATGCTTATTGCTTCCGGCCTGACTGCTTTCCTGTCGTCCGCCAAGCAAACCAAACAGCACCGTCCCTAAATCATTAGGACTCGGTGCTGCGCATCTGTATGATAAGCGTCATTTTCGTAGCTGCCCCTCTCCTATTTACTGAAATATGCTGATAATGCTACTTTACCTCTTTTTTGTCAAACTTTCTAAATAAAACTGATGTTGAGGCTGTACTGTGGCCTATTTTGTACACTGGGTAGTCGCTTGTGAGAATTAACATATTGGTAATATAGGTTGATTCTTACAAGTAAACGTGGTCCAGCCGTTTTCACGGACTTTTTTGCACTGAAATGTGGTCTACTTGAAGGCCGGACTTGTTTTTACAAGTAACTGCGGTTTTCTACCAAGGAGCTACTTCCCAATGGCACTGAACTTGGTATTTGTAGTGTTGACGATGTGCATTTGATGTTACCTTTTTGACTGTCCCAGTAGTCTATCTCTAAAAATCAGTGGTACGGTACAGTACTGGCCGTATGACTGCCCGAAACAGCGTGTATCCGGAAAAGGTGTGCTTGAGGTGTTAGATTTGTTGCATATAAATCAGCGTAGCTAGTGTAAAATCAATAGTTACAATGAGATTGATTGGTAGTCAAAATCGGTGGGACCTTCTGCTCCTCCTGCCCTTTTTCTTTGCATTCGCCTTTGTCCCTATGTGATGGGTCACCATGATTGTTCGCCACCACGACTGGACCTGAAAGGATCAAAGTAAACGCTAACCCGATATGCTGTCGCAGAGAAAAATTCGCTAGCATGAATTCAAGGAGACCGATTAACGGTTTGCTTTTTCTGTTATCGGTCTAGTTAACCGAATTGGCGATTTTAAAACTTCCGTAGCCAAAAATCACGAATTTGGTGCGCCTGAAGTCAAACATCCATACCACCGTTTACGCTGAAGCAATAAACGGCTGCATTGAATTCTAAAATTATGAATATTTTTGGCGTTTTTAGCCATACATAAGACAATAGTCTTGGATAACGGAGAATTTTCAACTCGCATTAAGCGCACAATTTGCGTTACCTACTTTAGAACTCGGTTACAATCTTCACTTCACGTTGACCTAATACAAACCGAAAGCATTAGACCCCATTATCAGTTGTGACACTGCAATGTTCAAATGAGACGCAGAAACTCTAACTACAGCTGATTCACATTCCTAGGACCACATGGATTCACTTATAAATTTAATTCCCAAAGCTAAAGCCTGGACTGAGAGGAAGCAGCAGCACTCACCTTGAGTGCGGCTTCGGCCAGCTTCTGTTCAGACTCTTCTTGTGCCGCTTTCATTGCCTTCGCCGATTTGTAGTCTTCTACAACTTTATCTATTCGCTTATACTAGAAAAAAACAACATTCACCACACTCAATTCGAAATTGCGTGCAAGATAAGAATCGATTCGTGCCACGTTGACATACAGTGAAGTGTTTAGCAAAACGTGAGGTCACCATGTTAGGCATGGAACGCTTAGGAGAACCCAAAAGCAATGTCGCGTCATTTCTAAGGCAAGCGAGCATTGTCACATTGTTCTGTGACACACATTCAACACTGTCAGGCCTGGCGCCCAGGCTGCGACAACTTGTTAGCGCTGATACAGCACTCAAAGGTTGCGAATTGCGTCCCTGTGACGAACATCAACTCAGATCTTCGCAATGTCACTTGAGACTTCTCTGTAGACAGGGCAGCTTCTAGAAGTGGAAGGAGAACGAACAATTCTGCTCACAATCACCAAAAGTGAGTCTTATTTCAGCTCGCAAAATGACCCGCTTTTTCGGTGGCCTGCTGTTACATGTGGATTTTATTGGAAATCTATCTAAAGGCACATAAACCGGGTCGGCACGCAAGAAATCCCAGTATGATAATGAATAAAATCACTCGGATTTTAGCTGGAAACTCTTGCCCAGCCCGTGGCCTTCTCATGATGTTGCTGCGACGTGCTATTACTAATTGAGGTTAAAGAAGCACTGCCCTTGTACAGCAGTCATCAGAGACCATGTCAGCGATAACATGGCTTACTTTAAACCACTCTTTGTCAAAATCAACTCAATAGGATCCCAGACTATAGTCTTCGTTTTCACCATTTCTCAAACTATGCAAACAATCTTGTTTAGTCTATTGTTTCTGCAATTTTTAAGTCCCAACCAGGTCCCTTTGATAACACCTATTATAACTTTCTCTGCTTGGGTGAACCGATTGTCTGCGCTCAAGTTTAACAATACCTCAAAGCATAACAAACACACCGACAGTAAAGACATACCTCGAAAATCAGATTAGTCAATGCGTCGAGTTGTTCATTGCGTTTATGAACTAGGTCGGAATAGGCGTGCCGTAGGGCATCCAGGTCATTTTGCTGCTTCTCCTGCATGTACTCGGTTTGCTAAAACCGAGAAACACAAGCAGTGATGCATCTCTTTCCCCCAAAAACCTCTCCCGACTACCTGAGAACCCTTACTGCCTCAAGCTTTGCGCTATTATTCATCAACCAGGTGCTTATTTCGCTCAGGGTTCGGCCGTCATTGGTTATGTTGAGCTGAGTGGCATCGATTTCCGCGGTGAGGTTCTCCTCCATTTCATCACGGCGTGCTTTCACCTCACTGACCGCACACTCGACGTTCTTGACCCAGAATCGAGTTTGCATGGCCACCTTGGCTTTCAGTTCCTTTGTAGGGCAGAATTACAAAGGCACGTGAGGAAGAGGAAGTCGAAATCAACTCAGATTATTAACCAGATACCTGATGAAAAGTGTATCTCTGGTCAGCCTAACTCAGTTACCGACTGAAATTTTACAAAAAGGTACAGCTTTATACTACCATGATCTAATATTTACATGTCAATTGGTTATTCCTTTGTTTTACCACAATAGCTTCATTGGAGCACTATTCAAATCCGCCACTAGCAGTAGCTGTCCTATTTGCCGAGTATCTTTACTCTTTGATCCGTACTGTTTAAATCCATTCATTGCCGTAATATTTGCTGTTTGGGACACTCTGCGAAAGACTTTTAACATTCTGAATTGTCTTCGTCGTTATTTGAATCCAGAAAGTTTGTCTATTAGTGTGCATGGTGGAAGGTTTTAAAAGCGGTAACGTTTGAATCGTTGTCAGTTGTTATTGGCTCAAAGTTCGATGAAGTACAAATCACCGTTAATAAATTACTTTCTTCTGTCCAAAATCTCCTTCTTGGTTTTCTCAGGTCTTCCGTTCATCGAGAAAGTTTTAACATTTAAAGGGTTGTTTTGCACCTTAAAGGGATCCTTGTACAAAAATTACAAGCACATAAACTTTTTCCCATAATGCAGAAGACAGCATACCTGAAAGCGGTCGTGCAAGGTGGAAATCAACTTCGTTTTCTCCTCAATGCGTGCCTTGCCCTTGTCTTTAAACTGACTGACCTCCGTCTCCAGGTGCTCCAGTTCGTCCTGAAGATCCATTTGTCTGCAGTTCATGAACCAAAGAGTGATTAATAGTTACTTTAGCAGTTGTATGCCTCGACTTGCCTGGAGTCAAACCACCCCATAATAGTGTTCGATTAAGCACGAAGAATACCTTCGTTTAAGCTACTTAGAATTAAATTGGAAACCGAGGGTTGAGTATTTTTTAAACCCAACTGTGTAGCTAGAGTCTAAGTAAATGAGAAATGTTATTAAGCTTGGTAAATAACATTAAAAGGACATAATGGAACTTGTGACGAGAGCAATCCGATTGGTTTAGCAACGACCAATGATGAAGCGATTTGTGAGACAACGCTACCCCAACCGCAATGCAAGCAAGCTAAACGCAAATCGACGAGGACATTAGAGCATTTTAGTCGTATGTGCCATTTGACTTTTAAGTCGTATTTAGTCATTTGTTTTGCCAAGTAGAAGAGAGATCACCTTCATCACTATCGGCTATGCACTAAATCAAGGATGAAATTAACAGGTCCAGTCAAATTAAGTAAATATCCTTTTCATATGTAAAAACACGAACTTAATCATGCACTTACGTTTCCACAACTGTCGCTAATTTCACCAGCTCCATCGAGGACGCTTCAACGTAGTTTTTCAACACCTCAAAAGTTCCCTTTTCCTGCAACTCCTTTGCGCAAGATAAGCAAACGCTTTTCACTTCAGCTCTAGGAAATTCGACTGTGAAGAAAGTTGAGATTATATCCTACAATAACTCCTTCACTTTTTCTATGTAGAGGTACATTTCTAATCCCCGGTCCATAGGGGCAGTGAGTTCCCTGCCTTTATCAAGCATGGCCATTTTATTCCCATAAGTTTCTAGCATTTCTGAAACTTCGCCTAGGATCTCTGTGAGATCTTCGGATTGCTCCGCTTTTTCTTTCTCACGAACGTCATTCTCGTAGTCATACTTCATTGTGGCCACCAGAAGCGACATCTCTTCCGCAGTGTATTCAAATATTGAACCCAAAATCTGAGATTTAACATTTCCGAGAGCCATATGGAGAATTCCTACAATGAATTTTCTATTTATACACTCCATGTCGGACCTCATTTGCATAAGTATTAAGAGCCATTTTTGGCGCTAGACATTTAAACGACAATTCCTAAAGTAGCGACTAGCAGCATTACTGACAATTCGACGGTTTAAATTATATCTGCCTTATCGTTCATATTAACTATTCTTTCCCTCGACTAGGATTTCGTGAAATTCGACCAATGCTTTAAATGTACTATTGTGGAATCAAACAAATAAACACAACAAAGGTGCTGTTTACATAACAATAAACTATAAAACTGTTTTTTGCGGTTATTTGTGCTATACATGACATCTAGCAGTTATCTAATGCAGAACTATTGATAATCTGAGATATTGGCAAAACAAAACATTTGACAAAGTACAGGTCTAATTTAGCCGCACCGATTTTGATTTGATGGTGCTCGTTTATAAACAATTGATAGTTAAAGTAAATGTCGTTTATGGGTATAAGACACAATTGTACACAATAAATACATCGACAACAGGCTAACTGCGCCTAAAAATTTGCAGCACAGCTTTATAAAAAAATCAAATAACCTTCATAGCACGACCTGGCATAACGTAGTAATGCAACTGAATCGAGCATCAACTTGGGAATTTGGAGTAATGAATATCAGTTATTTATAAGCTGTATTTAGTTTCATTGATAGTGGTATTATAGCCAAAATTTGCACGAGATTAGTTGCTCGGTATTTGATTAATGTGATGTTTTGGGTTTTAATCCAATGCTTCCTTAAAGGGTCAGTAAAACTCAGACTGAACAGCTGAGCTGAATAGCACATTATACGACTCGCAAACTATCTGCTTCTAACCGATATTCAGGGAGACACTACAGCATGTTTTAACGTGACCAAGGGCGGATCTAGGAAGGGTAATTTTGGAGGCTGGGAGTTTATGTTAGCCAACTCGAAGATAAATTTGGCACTCAACTAAAGCTGACCGCTGCTCTTAACATTTTACCAAGCACAGTGTATTAACAACTACGTTTGCGTTGTTTTGGTATAAAAATTCCAACAGAAAAATATAAAAGTATCGAGAACACAAAGCAAGTATACGGTGTTTGTTACCGACTAGCATATTTGAAGTTAAATTTGAGGATTTCTAGGGAAATAAGAAAATGCAATGGCACAAATACTAGTGTTAATTTGTAATGGTCGCTACTTTTCACATCTTTGCTTAAGTTGAAGCAAAGTGTTTAATCTACAGAGCATTCCAGTTGTATATTTTGAACAGTAGATGATAATTTCAGATTTTAGCGTTTGACTTTTCAAAATGTTTTGCAGCAATAGAGTTAAAAATTGTATACTTTTATCACCTTAAAAGAAGTAAAGGCAATTGAAATTACACGCCAATGTACGTTTTCAGAACCGGCAAAGGAAAAGCGAAATGTTCCCATAGGCACTAATCAGCTTGTAGTAAATCGAAAAAATGACAGAAATTCGGGCAACAGTTAGGTCACTAATATTATTGCACAAAATATTAGGTGCAAAACATCTTTATGAATTGCCAAAATTAGTGTGGGACCCATTCAATTGTTGTTCGTAATGAACTCATGCAACGATCGTACATTAACGAGGATTTTGAAGGGATGTATTTACACTCCAAGGTCATTTCCATAGATTCAAAGTGCCGAAAAATAAATGCATTGAAATTAAATATGACATTAAACTAAGATCACTTAAATCTAACGCAGATATTTGCCGATTTTATTATTTTTTAGCTACTAAGTGTAGGCTTTTAGGTAATTAAGGTAAGACAGAATTTACATTTTTTTGTTAAAAAGTATGTGGTATCAATTTATTTATGAAACTGATTGAGCACATCTTTTTATTTGCTTATTTTATATGCAAAAACTGGCATCAATATAAAAGCACCCTTGTGGGGACCAGATGCTCAACCAATATTTGTATCTATCGATCAAACAACCGGAATAATGGCTTGCAGATCAAATATATTCCAGATATTCTCAACAAAAAGTAGATGTTTTATGGATCGTCCTCTGTCCTTTTAATTTTACAATCTGATATTTAATGAGGTAAAGGTCATTTCGAACAATAATATTGTGAACCAATTGGCCACAACTCTGTGATTGAAACTCCGGGACTGCAATAGTTTGTGCAGTAGTTGCCATTTTCCTATATGCAGTCCTGGGCTCTATCAGCAATTTTTTTTGCACTTTCAACTATTTGCTTTAATTTATCACCCCAAACTTGGCTAAAATATTAATTTATTAATTATTACTTGGAGGCATATTAAGTGAACGTATTTTTAAGTATACTTGACTCAATTTTTGCTTGTTTTATAGCAGTTAAGCTTTCTTGATTTAGGTTGTGTCCCCCTGCCGTCATTCACTGGATAGCGGACACTAGGACATTCACCCGTCCTCTTGAATAAAGAAGCAGGTCTTAAAGAGAACTAATCAGCTTTTGAAAATGCGACAAGTTGTGTCTAAACATTCCAACTCTTATGGGAAATGTTACCTGACAAATCTCTCCGCAACAGGTGTTTTCTTTTACATATTTGCTACTGCAAGCCCATCAACAAAAAGAAATCAATACTGCCTAGCGCTAAAAACTACCAAAAATAACATGCAAAAAATACAGTCGCATTGACTCTCGGGCCACACCGAATAAATGAACAAGGTATTCATAGTAAAATATCCAGCCGGCGCGTCGCCATGCTTTGCGTGGTCAACACGTCCTGGGGTAAATTCAACCCAAAAGTGGGGGTTTCTGCCGTAATGTTCATCACCAATGCTAAGACGAAAGCGAGTTTGAAACAACCTTGACATACATCAACTGCATTAGCCAAGACATGCAACAATTTATCAGACATGCATCCCGGTGCCCGAATTAAATCTCAAGAAAAAAACATGTTCATAATCAAATATTACCTTGTCGGGGATAAAGATAATCAAGACAGGAAGCTGGGTGATTGCTAATTTTGATGTCTGTTATAAAAAAATAAAGTAGGCATCGTTGTAAGTGATACGCAGATGCATAACTTAAAGTCAGAACCGCGACGAAAGGATCCGTGAATAGTAGATAATTTATCACAGAAAATAACAAATGACCACGGATTTGGAGATATCAGAATAAATTTAAATTCCTTTTCAGGTTACATCGTTTCCATTCGGGCAACTCGGAGAAGGCAGCACGGGACATGTGAAAGGCGGCCTACAAGAGATGGCATGAGTTTTAAATCTGGATGATGATAATCTATGCATCGATCCAATGGCTGATTGGTTACTTGAAAGCCGTTCCAAAGAAACGCAAATCAATACAAACAAATTCAATGAAAATTTTCCAGTTTAATCACATTATTTTATCATTGCCACATCAGCACAACGGAATTAAGTAAGTACTCACAAATTTTTACAAATGGGTTCCAGAGGACGCGTTATTGAACTTAAACAAATTACAAATTTCCCGGTATCTTCGATCCCCGTGACCATCCTGTCATGGCAAAGGACATGGGCTGCGACTGGACTTCTGAAGACGGATTCACAGCGTAAAAAGCGAAACACCAGACGCTCAGGGCTTTCAATTTATGTGATTATTCAAAAACGCAACGGCGGCACCTACACCACATCTACTTAGTGTGACAACGCGAGTTCGCAGTCAAAACCAAAGACATTTTGGCGTGTAATCTGTTTTGCACACAGACCTACAATGTTTTTGCTTCAATACAGCGTTCCAGTTGAAGTAAACTTGCCTCAAAGTCTTCGTCCGTCAGGTAGGTCTCCAGGCGAGTTGTGTCGAATTCCGATGGTCGTGGATGTTGTTGCAACTCTCGCAAACTAAATTTCATATTTTCCAGACGATCCAGGAGGTCACTAACTGCATCAGCTTGGCCATTCGACTTACCATTCTGTAATACAAAAAACAGACGAGTTATGTAACAAATGGCCTCGTTGACTAATTGCTCGGCTTTAGAAAAAATCGCCGCAGCCTACGTTAAGATGGTAATTCGCTCCATCAGTCGACCTCGAGGCAGGAGGGAACAAGCACAGGAAGTCATCTGGTTCGAGTCCAGCGTACACTGCGACGGCACGAGTAGCGGGTCCAACTATAACGTGGAAATGAAGCGGATGAATTTGTTTTCTCGTGGAAACTACCCTTGGTACCTGTCATCGCAATTTATTTAGAACGCTGGCTAATTCAACTAAGCTGCAGTGAGATGAGAAAGAGGTTGTTTAAGGTAGGCTGACGCGATTGTATCGGAGCAGACACGATCAGACTACGAATGTGGAAGAGAAAATTCCTAAGGTTACGGGGTGTTAGAACTGAAGCGTACTTCGTTTGGCAAGTGCCTGAGCCGTCCGCAGAGCAGCTAAACGCGCTGCAATAAACCTCGGGGAAGAAGCAGAACCCCCGGGGGATCGTGGTGACGAGGGTGTGAGTGGCGGTGCGGGCACCGAATCGGGGTCGGCGAAGGCCAGCATCTCGCTCGGAAGACTGGTGGGCCGGGCGGGACCGGGGGAGAAGGGTTTCGAGGGGGTCCGACGCATCTTCACGGGTGTTTCTGTTGAATGAGAAGGGACTAGCCTAGGAGGCGAGGCTCCAGGGCTACTCTCTGGCCACCAACCGTGCCACAAGTAGACAACGTCTTTGCCGTGAACCACCAGAAAAAGTGCTAGCAAATAATACGAAGCAAATCATCGAATGTCTTGCTTGAATGGACTGAGTCTCACAAAATCACGACAAGTGAAATTCAGACGAACAAAGATCAGATCAGACAGCCCAGAGAAAACATCTTAGGTCACCTACATTTGACATGATTCCACACGACCTCAGTTATTATCGTAGGTTCCAAACAAAACCAACAATCAAAAGGAGAGCAAAATCTGGACGTCAGTGTCTCGAGGAACTGTGATTATCCTGGAATCCTCCACAAGTTAGAAAATTACATCGATGCATGATGGAGGGGAACTGGTTTAAATTATGGTGCAGTACAAACCACAAAATTGGATAAGATTTTACCCCCAGACACTAAAAAGCACTTGGATAGCATTTCAGGGGTAAACACAAGTGACGTGTCACGCTAGTGTAGCAAAGATGCAAACTCGGATTCATTTTACAAATACAAATAACTCCTGGGAGAAACGTGCCTGGCTGTTCAGTTGAATAAAAGTCGGAGAGATTGATGGGGAAGTTCGGGATGGGGAGTTTGCTTGAGAAGAGCGAATCTGACTCCACGTAGGTGCTGACGGCGATGCCAAAGTCCGACGCCGTTGTGATGTCCGGCTCGAGGGAATAGGACAGCCGGTGCGAGGACAATTGCTGACCCAAGGTGTAGACAAGCTGCCAAACAACCAATCGCTGCACGTCTATAGATGATAAGACCAAATATGGATTTAAATATGTTGCATGTCACAGACGGAGATCTAGTCTTCACACAACTGCGGTTCGTTGGAGACTTGGTGGAAAGCATGAGACAGAGAGCACCACTCTGAGGCCCGATTCAAGGAGCCTCAATTGTACGCATCTTTGCGACCGATTAAGCTGTGCTCGACTGAATTGTAATGACCACGGAACTAGCTACGCTAAGATAATGTCAAAGCAGTGGCGGATTCTGCATCATGGGAAAAGAGGCCTAGTGAGCCGCTTACCTTGTGGTGCGCTGGACAACGGTAGGTGTACAGTGGTACCCCCGTTTAGGGTGGCCAAACAGTCTTGCAGATGAGGGGAACCGGTGTCAATTTCGTTGACCTCTTTCACATTCAGAATCTTATGCCCAAGATCTGGTGGGCAGCTAAATTAGAGGAAAAAACGGTCTCAGATGCATGAACATTAGCTGAACTATGAACCTAGTTCCTGACTACAGCATTTCCACGAAGTACACATAATAACCAAACGAGCACGGTAAACGGAAACGGTAAATTATTGACCAAATTATTGAATACCCTTAGGCCGAAAAACGGTAGCTAATGGCTTCAGGTATAGCAAGGCTACTTTCCACTAAACGTTGTTTATTAAAGTCTCACCTATTGTGGAATCGATCGAGCAACCATCTAGCCGCCGTGATATTCGCTTTGGGGACAGTGGAACCGACCCAAAGCCAGCATCTGCTGTCTTTTTCATCGGCGCTGACAATAAGGAAGACGCCACGACTGCGGAGAGAGGCAACGGACGCTGGAACTTGCCACAAGTGGGTTTCAGGACCTCGTTCGCCTCGAATTAGGAACAACCGAGTCACCGGTTTCTGAGGGAATAGGATTGCATGAGATCAAATTTTCTGACTGTACACACGATGGAATAGACGACATTTGCAGATTTAGTTCAGTTAAATCGAAAAAAAGCCAACTACAGTAAATCCGTTTTCCATAGGCACATATTTGACTAGAGGGCCGAATTGATATTAGTGATTTATTCCATATATTCTTAATCCATATTTAGACAATGTAGCTTCCTACTCATCAATTGTGGACACTTCTTATTGGTAGTATAAATTATTTAGGTCCTGGGACAGATTTTGAAGTGTGCAATTCCCTCGAAATACCACATAACTTAGGAACACGTGTTTAATTACCTTTTTTATGGCTTTGCTGCCAATTCAAAAAAAACACTTTCGTTTTACTGAAGTAGCGGGGCAGATAAGTTTACGCTTCCAAAGGCATTAATACATTCGGAGCACAAGATTTTGAAATCATCTTAAACTTGCCGATGGCAATCTGCTAAATATGTTATTGACATTCCACTTACGGGAAGGAAATACCATTGGTTTTTGGAAACAGTCAAGTGCTAACGAGTCACACACACTGAACCACTACTGTGAACTTAGTTTGTGCTGAGTCATGGCGAGCCTAAATAGACGACAAATGGGCAACCACGGCCCTTAACAATAAGTAGTATTCATGATAGTAACAAACATGTCACCTGAGAGTGAAATTTTCCATCGTAGATGGCCATTCGTCCATTGAAGAGACTACAAAAGACCGGCGGTTCCTTGCCCTCAACGACTCGAATCTACAATTTTAAACGCCCACAGCAGGCTACAGCATGGGTACATTGGAGCAAGGAGAGTGGACATAAGATGTGTAGTGAATCGTCTAATGACGCAGTTGTCGCATTCTTCACCACTCTGGCCTAATTTCCTCTCCCTTGCTATTGCTTGTTGTGGGCCCCAGCATGTGGTCTTGAACCACGCCGGGGCCACGGAATTGACCCTGGCCCGATTATGCTTCCCTGATGCCCGCGATGAAGAAAAGGACCGGAGAGGACGTGGACACAACCGTTTACTTCAGAGCTCAACCACGTTAATGTCGTTTGCGCGTGTGTATTTATGCCTCGGATGTGTGAGTCATACATGCACTAACATCGAGACCCAGGTGTGAGGATAATCCAGGATAAATATCCGTGTGAATGAAGGGGGAGTTGAGGATCAGCGCGGCTGCCAACATGCTGCGAAAAGGGGAACTCTGTGTCGGAGGTGTAGCGACCGGATTAAGGGGTGTGAATAAACACGATTCACAATACACTCTTGCTAAACCGTCTGCTCAAACACCCCTGTGCGTGTACCACCCCACCCTCACACTGGCCGTTTCATTCAATCTGGCCATTCCGACATCTGTACTTTTGCGGGCTCATCCAGACTGTATGGATCAACGATCCATTGTAGTTAGACACGGCTTTATGAGCAGTTGAGCAACGAAAACAACCTCGTTGAGCTATCTGGTTAACGATCGTGTCTCCGCCATCTCCGGTCGTCCCTCTACACCTGTGACAACGGGAATTCGACATTGGGTTCCACAGTTGTTGGACGAGAATGCAAACCAGTGAACAAGGTGGAGGCAAACTAGCACAGCTTTCATGGCTTTCCGGGAGCACGAGGGAGGTGGAATAGTTTTCTGAGGGTGACTGGAAGCCAGTAATGACCACAATCACCTGTTGATGGAACCGTCGTGGTACAGAGGTGAGCGAGCGAGAGACGGATTTAGTCGCACAAACTCCAAGCTCGATAATTCAGTTGGGGGGGAGGGGGTCAGAGCTCTCCCCCCTAACTGATAATAAATGCTCTTACTCAATTGGATCATCCCTTCGGAACGTGTCACCCATTTCAAGGTCGCCCATGGGTTTTGCAATTGAGTATCTGTGCGTGTTAATTCGAGAGAGCAAGCTTCCTTTACAGGGAATGAACTAGTAAGAGGTTTTACGCTTTCTAAGGTCGTCTGTGGGTCATGGTTAGTCCTTTGATATAAAATTTCTTCAAGACAATGCTTTTTGTGAAATTGAAAAATCTAATTTTCTTTCCATTGGCTTGTACTCGTGAGCATCAGTTTGTGTGTGCATGTTACTTGGCCCGTCTCCTTATCTTACACCTCTGTGAAAATATTTTCTATCATATTTGCGGTCAAGGTCACTCCATTGAGATGGATAACCCAATCAGGTCAGGTTAGGCATCTGATAAGTTTTATTAAATAAACAATGAGTTTAAGGCGTTATTAAGACATTGTTTCAATATCGCAATGGCTGAAACCACACTGTCACATCTGGATTTGACTTATTGGTCATTAGCCGAAAGAACAGTTATTGATGAGTTTGTCGATAACTTGAATGGTGTGTGGAGAGCAGCAAGCGGACGGAGTTAGCTTGAGCGAACATGATTCAATTGGTTTACGTAAATGTGTTCGTTCCAGGGCCGATTCTTAGCGAAGCTATTTAAATGCACTTGTTATCCTGTACAAACACACACCGCCATTTCATCAGTAAATTAGTTGAGCTATGTGCCATCTGCGTTTTCCACTCTTCTTTCGGTCGGGGCTTGTCAGTGTATATCGTCGGCCCTGGTGTGGTTCGCAAAACCGCACCGGGGGCCACAGCAGCTTTATGACATCGACAAATTTTGACTCACCAATTTACTTCTGGGAATGGGTGTTAAAACGAAAGTCTCCATGTTCTGGTAGTAAAAACGCAATTTAAGGAAAAGTCTTATACAAGTAAGTCCCCGATGTTGTACCTAGGAAAACCGCCATGGACTCACAAGACAGCCACAGTCCAATCAAAACGATTTTCAGCGCACAAGGTCGTACCTGTGGGCCCTTCTCCTCGTCCAGTTCGACGGTCAGCAGAGCAGCTGCGCCCTGCTGAGTGACCTTGCTGGCGGAGCCCTGCCAAAAGAAGTAGGCGCACTGGTCCCTCAGGACCGCCGGATTGTTGCAGCTGCGACTGTTCTTCACTAACGCCTCCTCGCGACCACCTGGAACAGAAAATGAGCGGTCGGCTCAGTTAGGCGTCTACACCGAGGCAGCCACGCGCCTGTCGTAATTCTGCCAACTAAGCAAGCTTCAAGCAAGATACGAGCACACCAAGGTTTAGCCGAGGAAAGTGGAATTCCGGACCATCAACCTCGAAGAGATTGCGAGAACGAAATATGATGCGAAAGCACGGTAACTCACTATTATAAACGCGAAAGGGCCATCGGATTACGTAGGTCTCTTCTCGATAAAACTGGCCGAAACTCGCCTCGTCCACTAGCCTCGGCTCATACTCCACAATCCGCCAAATCTTCAACCCAGCAGAGGTTTCAACGAAGAATCGACGCATAATTCCGTCGAATGGACGCACGCCCTCGCCACAACCACGGCCCACAAATCTGCCATCAAGGCTCAAGAGGTTCGCAGGCAGCGGAGGCTCCAGGAAGGCCTCCTTGAAGAGAATATCTGCGGATAAGGGTTCGATGGTGGAAGGCGCGGTCGAAGATGGCTTGGGTATGTAGGCCTAAACATGTAAGGGGTGTGACTGTGCAACTTACTACGATTATGTGTACAATCACTAGGTGCATGATTTAATTTCTACAACTAGAGAACAACGAACTTTGTCTTGGAACATCGTTTTATGACCTCCCGCCATCGCGAACGAAAGTTGCAGGCTTTGAGGCGATAAAACCATCCATGAATTTACGTACATGGAAGTGTTTATCCACTAAGGCGTGTTGCTGCATTTACCGGACCAAATGGTAGTCGGAAGGGGTCAATTCTTGTGAATATGCCGAGTGTAGAATAACGTCCCACCCCAAATTCCAGGGGATCTTCTGAGTCCCGCGAACAGCGTCAGGTCGAGCGTTGTCGTGTTGCAGTATGACCTGCATGCTCCCCTGTCCAGTAAATGGACTTTTCGGATCTAAGTTATTCGCTCAGTTTGTTCAGTTGTCGGCTGTTGCGTTCCGCAGTCATCGTCTGATCAGTTTCCAGGATTTTGTAATGACGTACACCACTCATGTCCCGCCAGATATACTGGAGAACCTTCTTCTAGTGGATGTCCTGTTTCGGAGTCGATGTATTGGGTTGCACGGGATTTACCCACGACACCGTTTTACGCTTAGGATTTTCTCGTAACAAAAGTATAGTTTTCATCACTCGTCACAAGTTTCCACAAGAAGTCGTTGAGCTAGGTTGTGTTTGGTCAACATGTGGGGCCGAACTTACATGTTTTTGAAAACGCTTGGAAATAGCCATTTTGGTGACTCCTAGCAGAGAAGAAAACTCATGTTGTGTTTGCGATGAGTCCTCATGCAGTAGAGCCTGCAATTCCGCATCGTCGAACTTTCGAGGCTGTCCAATGAGCGGTTAGTCACTGAGCTCGAAATCACCACTTCGAAAACGTTTGCACCAGTAATTACACGTTTCCCAGAAGACACAACGTCGGCGCCAAGAACGCTACAAAGTGACTTCCCGATGCTTTAGCAGCATTTTTTCTTGTTGGAATTCGTATAATATGCAGTGCCATCGAATGTACTGTTTGCCAGTTGCCATCATAAACTCCACTATTATGAGAGGCTATGTAACTCACGTAGACTTCGCGTTCGGTGTTTTGAGACCTCGCGTCCGATCCTTCCAAGAACCACAAAAGACCGCGAAAATCTTTCGATTTTAAGTATAATTTTAAGTTCGAAGAAAAAAAATGTGTGGAAATTGAGTTGTACTTCCAATATTTCATTGTAATAGGAAAAGTAAAAACTATGGTGATAGTACAGTTAAAATTAGGGTAATTACGATTAAAAGGACTAATTTTTTTACAGAAACAACGACCCAAAAGACCAGGAAACAGAAATCTTGTGGTCATGCAAGCAAATTTAAAAAAAAACCACTAAGGATACACCTACAAAAAGTGGATATTTGACGTAAATCAAGGTGATTGCCAGCAGTTGTTGAGTTTTGACAATAGAAAATGCCTGATGCCACAGTTAATTATCAAACGAACCGAGCTTAAAATTACAACACTACGATCTAGAGTGTTTGTAAAACTCGTTGGCACAGACAACAAGAAACAGACAGAAGCATGGGTATCGACGCATTGATGCGTGCACAAGTGTGTGCGTGTGGCTCTCTAAGCAGAGAAACAAAAAACAGGCATTTCGGAATGCTGGCAATCACGTTCTAGCTCAGAGAGGAGACAAGGAATGCGTTGCCGTGGGCAGTAGTAGTTTTAAACTGAATGCTTTGAGGCCACCAACATGAACACACATCGATGTTGTCTAGCAAAATACTAAACGACCCAGCGGGCGTGATATTTCCGTACAATTATTTGTTATACTATACTGATTTCGTTGGTATACGACTTGACCTGGACAAAAGTGGTGAGCATCAATATTCGTCGTGCACGTCTACTGTTTGCGTTGTCGAACGTTGCAAATCGTCTTCTCTTATTTACGGCTTCCGCGTGTCAGATTCGGCTTAATCCTAAAGCTTATAGCAAACAGTAATATTTTTAAACACACACTTTTATAATATTCAGGGCTGCTTTGTTATCTTCAGACCTTCGATCCAGCATGCCTGTCTAATCACGAAAATCAGAATTTAGTAACAAAGCACTGTTCCCGCTTACTGTTGATGCGTATTTCTATCACAAATGCAACTTTCGAAGTACAAAAACAGAGGGCAGAAGGAATTCTCGGCAAATTGAGGTCAGACATACAAGGCCTTGGTTCCCAAATATTTACTCTACTCAGGCACACCATTCGTTTATGGTAGCATTGTACTTTTTCGCCCCAAACCTCCATTCATAGAGACGGTGGCTAGTACCCGGCAGTGTTCAGCAGTTCGACGATCACGTCATGCGGTCCATACAGAGTAATGCAATTAGTTTATGGGTGTGTGCAAACACACACTCATGCCGCAGCAGCATCATCATCATCCTTCTCTTCCGAAGATGCATTTCGCATGCAAATTTGTGCAAATTGCAGAGCACGATTACACCGGATGGACAGACGTGATGCGGCTAATCCGTCCGAAAATCAGCTCATGCATTATCTGGCCTTTCTGTGCACTGGTGGTCTATAATTCAGCAGATAACGCTGTGTTCAAGACGGGAGCGTTGACAAGGCAACGCAAAGTCGGTCTTATTGGCAAAGTTTGTTTACAAGGTCAGTTTCGCGGGGCCCAAAAAATCCAATAAAACATAACTTTAATGAGGCGATCTTAATCATTCCAATCATCGAAGATGGGAAAGACAATATCGATGGTTTCGCAAACACTATTTATGTTCCAGGTGATAATGAATCCGGTGACGATTTTGGATTGAAAGACACACTGGTAATTGAGATAAGAGTAAATTACTTTTGCCGAGTGGTGTCTTGAGATGTGGCCAAAACGGGAACCCTCCGGCCAATCGATAAACTTCTCCTTGAATAACACCGTTTCACCGCGTTCCGGCACCTTGGCTACCAGGGTCCAATCAGGTCGACTGTGCCCAGATTTGGGACAGACAATTGCTACAAGAGGAAAGGCACCACAATGCAAGGGGGGCAGTGGAAAGCACCTTTACCGCTGAAAAGTAGCCAAGAATGAACGAGTATAAAACGACAAAGTTCAAGCATTCACCCCGTGTCTTCACTAACAAGGACTTTAACTGAGAGGTTATTGCAGGGTTGCAGCCACTAAAAATACTGCCACTTTTTAATGACGGTCAATTATCACCTGACCAGCCAGTAATGAACTGAAATACATAGTGAATGTACCAGTGTTTGCATTATTTATTTGTACGATTTGACACGGCCCCTGCGCAAATCAGACAAATTTTGTCAGTGCTCTTGTAATATAGCGTACGACCACCAGAAGACACTAAATTTAGTGAAATCTAGTACCTGGCGGTCCTTAGGGGTCATTAAAATTAATCTCGCCAGAATGTAAATTGGGTTTTAGCCAAAAGCAAGCATGGAACTGTCGGTATGCCATGTGGAGCGGTTATTTAGGCAGTCGCGGGTGACTTCAGTAAAACAAAACAGCAGTAAATGCATGCTTTGACTTCCAACCAAACATTAGTCGTTTTGCCACTTTACAACACGTCGTCCTTCATTACCAGGGCACACAAACACATCTAGATACGGAGTGCCATTTTCAATGGGGGCGAAAAACCGAAAGCTTGTTGACGCTGCTCCACTGGCAACGCCGCCGTTATCTTGCAGAAAAACAAAGTCCCCACACACGCAAATGCTGATTGCAGGGTGTAAAAATTTCTGTTACAGCGGAAGTGCGGAGTGTGTCATTAGGAAAACCGTTGCGTACACACGCATTACCACCGAGCACGACAAATTCACACACACACACGAGCTACGATCTGAATGAGTCACTGTACTACAGCAAGCGGGTGGCGCACCAACCCTTTCCGAAGCAAAACAGTTCAACCAAACACGAGTTTCACAGGAGTACGACGAAGAACGTGAACAATAAAAGTCAACATTGACGAATCACACACTTCCTGCTCCATAGGGGAGGCCATTTTGACTCTGGGATTGAATAAGGTTCTTGCACAAGAGCAGCAAGTTAACTGCCACCAAGTCACAACACAGAAGGTACCTAAACAAACCTTACCTTCCAGTGGGTTGAGGGGATTAGTGTTGCACATTGAGTAATCATACGGCTCCATGTAGAGCTGCTGTACTAATTCGATACCGGCTGCACGGATTTTCGGGGAAATTTGATTACCAGTCCATAAGTAAACCTCCGAACCAAAGTCGAACACAAAGGCCTGTACGAATGCAACGTAAAAATAATTTTTTTTTCAGGATTTAGGGCTCAATAAAGTCCGAAAACAACTAAGTCGGTTTTGTTAAGCCTGCGCCTAATTGGGTGCCCGGGTTTAGAAAAGGCAATCCTACGCGTAGATGGACTTGAACGACTCGGAATTTACAACACCTTCAACGCGATGCTCGAAGGCAAATCGTACGGGACCCGAGTATTCAAGTTACAAATTTGTACCAGCAGTGCAAGAGCCTTGTAGTAACTTGCAGGGGAGACTTATCACGAGAGCAGCTTGTCGAAGGCCACTAATAACGATAGTTTGATGGCTCCTACACACAGCTGGTCGAGATTGTTCACCAGACTTCCCCTAAATACGCCCAGCCACACGCTAAGACAGCACAATGGCGTGCTGAGTCCAGCGGATTAATATACGATCGTGTTGACCTTGCCGTGATATCTTGCCCCCATCCCCCGAAGTTCGACGGACAGTCTCACCGATGTGATTCACCCCGAATTGAATGTCCCAGCTAGACACATCACAGCCGCAAGGATCGTTGAAATAGCAAATATTCTTGGGAGTATTCATTAGTGCAAATCAATTAGCTACCATATCATGATTTCTTGGGTGCATTTTATGCACACCAAAGCCCCTGATTGAAAAAAAGACAGTTGTTAATGACGAATTCTAAGTATTTACAGCAGCCAGAAGACAATGGTGGGACAAGATTCCCTAAGAAATGCATGAATGGAGCTAACCTTTACGGAGGAGAGCATTGAACAGCGAAGAGGCGTGCCCCAGAACTCAGGAATCGGTTCGAGGCGATCTTCAAGCACTTCGAAGACACGATTCGTGTGCTGAACGACGGCCTCAAATACGAGATCTTCTTCCTGTGGGCCAGCGGCTGAAACGGACGCGGAAGAATGTGTTATTGTCATTACGACGTGGCTAATCAGGCCGATTGCACATCCGGCCTACTCCATACACATCAAACAGCACAACCACCAGCCACGCACTCGCCTAATTCCCATCTTACTTCTTTAACAGGTGAGCTTGGAGTTCTGCACGAAATCAAGCGATGAGGTAGAATGAACATGGCTGGCATGCAAGGTGCGACCTGTGTTTAGCCTAAGTATAGAATTGATAATTGGGCAAAATCTAGGCTCGTTGAATATACTCGAGTAAAAGGAATTGTCGATTTACGAAGTACGGCAAAGATGGTTTCTAAGCGAAGGTCTAGCAAGTCCTCAACGACAAATAATGTCGCGTACTCACGTGAGATGTTAACCTTATCCAACGAGGTTTCCAGCGCCGCATAGAACGCCTCAAGATCGGCTCTGGAGACCCCCTGAGGCTTGCCCTCTTCAATGGTCACGACGGTCGGTCCTCGGCCTCCGGAGGAAAATCCGAGATCTCGAGTTTTGCTAACCCAAGCAGCGACGTCGCGCACCTTGTTCGATTCGATCAGATTGGAGTGCTGACCGATCCAGACATACAGGGAGGCAGTGTGGGGAAGAATGAGGAGGAAGGAGTCGCCGGAGTTGAGGGAGGCGACCGTCGGAGCCACTAGGCGCGTTTGCACTTGGCGACGACCTGAAACATTGACGAAGAACATCGTACAAGGAGGACACTTGGAGTTATGCCGGTGGGCTGGTTATTAGGGTGGGTACCTTTTACTAAAAGAAGCATTGTCTCCTTGAAGGGGACGAGGCAACGCTGGAAGGCGGCGAGCGGGGCCTGCTTTTCTTGCGCGACAACTCGAAGACGCTCCTTGGTGGTGGAGAAATTCTCGACGCTGGCCAACCCGGCCAGTGCGGATTCACAGAGATGGGCGTTCATGTCTGGTCGATCTGCAGGTGGGTTAAGAGGCATCATGTTAGGTCACGGTTGGCACAAATTAAATGTAAATAAACACGTGCACAGCGTAAAAACAATATGGGGTATTTTTGCTCAGGAGATAGTGCTGTCTATACTCCACCCACACGCAGGGTTAACTTCATTGATAAATAGTTTGGTTTCTGGTGCACATAAGCAAAAATTAAGGTGTTCCAGGCCATGGTTCGGTCAGGAATAAGTGGAATGAAAAAAGTACAACACCAGCGAATCGGATTATTTCAACGGCAACGTGTGAAATTAACCTTGCAGAGCTTCTTACATGCGGGAAAGCATAAAAGTTGATTTATGACAGCATATTTTTTAAGGATAGTACAAGTGAAACCCCACAAAATGCTAGGATGTGTTAGTACGTCAGTGTAAAATGGGGACATAGGGCTGAGCCGTGTGGGAAGGGGAGGGGTCACGAGATCCTGATAAGGTTCCAACAACAACGTGGGGTATTTTATAATTTGCCACCACTGACGTACACGTGAATCAACTGATCCTTGAGTGTTTTACTACTTCAACGGCGTTTAGAAACGCAGTCGGGTCAGACAAAGCTCTTAAAGGCCGTTGTAGACACAAGAGCTAAACGGACATAGGCAAAAAGTAGCAGTTATAACGTAGAAAGTTCTACACAAAATCAAACGTGTTTGTTACCTAAGACATGTGAGGAGATAGGAGTGGAAGCGTCTCACGTGGGCATCAACGTCACGAGTTTTAAACCTGGCTCCGACCAAAAAATCGAACGTATTGCCCACGTGGGCAGAGACGTCTTTTCGTGCATCTTCTTTCTTAACGAAGGTCGGATGAAGAGGAGGGAGGGTGGGATGTGGCCTTAATACCACCTTATAAATAACTGAATACGTTACCTCGAATCAGGTCTTAAAATACTGATTGATGATGGATGATGTCTACCTGAAAGCCAAATCGTTTAGTCTTTTTTTGCTAATTTATTTACGTGATCGGAATTAATATTCAAGTGAATCGTGTGTTATGGATTACAAAATTTAACCAAATCGCTAGTTTACGATTGGACTTCAGCCTTTGTTGCTTCATCGGCCAAGTCAACGTAGTTGTCGGTTCAAAATTTCCTACATAACCATGGATCCCACTTAAAAAGAAGCCAGGTTTACGCTTCAATGCATTGTAACGCTCGAATATCCATCCAAACGACTGGCTACAAGTAGGCTTAACACCAGGAACAAGTAGTTGCAGGATCGTTGCGGTAAAATTGAACCGTCGATGGATATCTTTAAACATGAAGGAGCCAGCTTACTTGACGGCGTAGAGGAGAGCCCCAGGGCGTCAGACGTTCCAGTTAGTCGCTGGTAAGGAGTGAACTGATTTCTTGAAAGAACAGCCTCCGCGTCGCCAGGTACTCGAACCTGTACCTCTTCATAGGCGTCTTTTAATCCTGAGGTCTCGTTTAACCGTCGAACGGCATTCTTCGACTTCGAAGAGGGACGAGAAGCGGGGCCGAGTGGTCGTTTGAACGGTGCCACGCTTAGGAAGCCAAAGATGAAATACGGATTGAATTAGCGGATAATGATAATGAGCGAATCACCGGACACAAGATGCTGGTTGAAAAACAACATTCAATAGGAACTGACAAGGTTTGCCGACACTGTGCACAATGAAATAAGTTTGAAGCGCAGTTAACCCTTCGTATAGTTGATATGAAAAACAGGATCGATGTTAAATCGAACAGAGGATATCATTGTGTCAGTCTCCAGTCTTCGAAATGTCAAATTTCAATTCCTATTAATACCGGCAATGAAATTGTAGTAGCTGGGTTTAGCACTACCTCGCAACCCTCTAGTAAACAGCCTGTTACAACCCGAGAAGAGGGAAGACAGGAGGCGACAGAGAACACCATCGTGTATTAGTGTTGCACCAGCCATGTGGCTTCGTGTGAGTTTGACTACGCATGCGTAATCGGCGAAAGTTAACAGGAGCCAATAACAAAAAGAGTGAGTCCTTGGTACAATCGGGCCAGCATACACGCATCACTGGCTGTCTGTCCACTACAAAACACCCCAAAATTTGTTAAATACTGTAAACTTTTCGCCGCTTATGCGCATTAGTGACTACAGCAGTTAACCTGGTTTTGTGAAAAGATTAACCTTTACCATCTGAACGCTAACCTAATTTCTGCCTGTTTCCACAATCCAGTGTAAGCAGCCTTGTAGCGCCGTAAAAAAATATTCCGCGGAATCGAATCACACATTTGTAGTACATAGGATCCCTCTGTATAGCCTTAATTAGATCCACGAAACGCTACATTGAAGTTTACGGGTATATGTTATATTTTCTTACCAATTTACATAGAAACATACCCAAGGTTTGTTTTGGGAAACTCGACGTTAGACAACGAAGACTGGCTTGGTAATGTCTGTAGGTCGATTGCATTAAGAGGCCGCGATCCAAAGAATTCATCAACAAAGTGCTCGTTGATCTTAGCCACAGGAACTGTCTGCGTAGAAGTGACAAAGCGTAAGTAAAATAAGGGGATTTTGGTGACTACCGAATTTCCACCAAAAAGCAACAGAGTGCAAATTGTTGAGGTGGTATTTTGCCAAACCTGGAACCCACGAGTTGCTTGTGTGTGTGTGTGGAAATGGTGAATTAAATTGTATTAAATTTTGGCGCGTAAACACGGTGGGAAACTGCAATGACACCGTGAAATCGACGCCAAATCAAATCATTTTAGCAAGTTTTAAACTAGCAGGATGTTACGACAGCAGTTAGCGATTTTGTTGGCCTCCCAGGTCCCTAGCAGATATCACCCAAGCGCTACACACTTGTTTGCCACTGTGTTATCAAACAGTTCAATAACCTTGACTTGGGATTGATTGCACCGATGGCCTTCAGCACAGGCATTGAAAAAATGAAGTTAAACGCTGGGAGCAAATTGGAAAAAAAGCAGCAATAAAGTTGTTTTTCAGGGCCTTTGCGGTCACATGAGACACAAGTTATCTGCCAGTAAAAAACCACAAGTGCGTAGCACCCAGTTCCCATTAAAGACACCAAATTCGGTCCTCGAAGAAGCCTGCAGCAGACAAAAGTTATTTTTTTATTTAAAGCGGCGTTACCGAGCTACCTGAAGATTAGCGAAAATAAACTTTCCCTTGGTCAGCTAGACTAGAGCACGTCAACACGTGAGTGGAAGCTTCAAAGTGGCTCTACGAAGTAAACGGATGTAAAAGTTTTCAAAGGAATAGCATTTTCTAGGTGATCCCCGCCGTCACTCCTTTCGATGGATCCACGAGAGCTTGCAAAGTGTGGAATTAAGGATGAAAGCGAGTTATAATTGCGTGGAAACGATATCTGAGCGTTCTTATGAGAGGCATTTTCGAGTTTTATACAAGGTACACTGAAGCCTGAAAAAAGAAATTTGGACGCTTCAAATTCGGGATATAACTATAGTGAGAAACGAAAGCTTGAATAAAAATAGCCTTTTAAAGGAAACGGTAAGAAATTCCAAACTTTAAGCTGACAGTCTCAATTTATGGATCCGTCCAGTTACGGTACTTTAGCAAAACTAAATGTTTACATTAGAAATTAAGGTAAACAAATGCCATAATTAGTTGCAAAGAGGAATCGTGCTTTAAGCATAATCTGTCATTCAAGAGGCCGCATTTATCGAAAACCTCTGCTCGATACTTTGCAGATCACCTGCTGATTTTGACCGACAACTAGTTTTGCTGGTTGTAGACGGTTAGGCGGCATTACTAATTGAAACTAACCTTCTTGACAATGGCAAAATCGGGGTTATTTTCATTATCCTGCAGGGTCGGTGTGAAGAACTTTGGGTCTAGAGAAGATAAGTCAAAAGCGTTGAGTGATTAATGTGGACTTAAACAGTAGACGAAGACACAAAAGACGCAAGTAATCTACTCATTACGACTAAATTGAATGTTAAGCAAGTCTTGACCACAGGGTTGCTATCATTTGGCCGACTACTGTAAACACATCCCGGCCACATCTTGAACGTTGACCTCGCCAGTGAGAGGGACTACTTAACAAACCCCCATGGACAGACGTTAAGGCACAACGAGTGACCTTACCGACTTCAAAGGTTTTCCGCATAATCCTTATCTGTGGTGTTCTCGCAGGTTCAATGGGTTGCATTTTGTCTCCACCTATGAGACAGAAAAAACGGTGCCATCAGCTTCATTGACAATGCCCCTTACAGGGTGACACGTTCCAGCACGATGCATGCAGTGACTGCAAGAGCCAGCCAGAGCGATATTCGCAAGCAAGGATATAAGCCGTATGGCGTAGGAAAAGACGAATCGTGCAGCGACAGGCCACAGAGCATCTGGTAGCCATGGATGCAAATAATGCAAGCCTTAATACAATTAGAAAAAAAGCGTCTCCGGCTTTCAAATGTGCACAAATATTGCCATTGGAATAGGCTATGGAGAAGAAAACTTGCAGAAGCGATCAAGATGAAACGCTCCTTCCAAATTTATTGTAGATCTTAAAAACCAACACTTGACATTCAAGCCACGTAAGTGGCGATCAAACTGATCCCAGTCGATAATTTCACATCTGTACGACGCGAACAAACCACAAGTTGAGCTATCGGCCAAGAATCTAGACACTGTGAAAGGAATATGAGTTCCCAGCATCGGGCATGGTTGGGAGGCAGAACCAACGGCTAAGTAAGACTACGTCAAGCGTTGCCTGCGCCTGAAATGCCGTTAAGTGCTGACTGTTAAAAATTCTTCTGGACAAGGACAGACCAAATACGTTGCCACCAAAAGCAACTGCAATACTTGTCCGCAGTAGCTTTCTAAATTATCAGTGACGTACAACGCTTTAGAAGCTATTTCATTGAGTGCTTTTCGTTTAAGTCACTCTGATCGGGCTAGACGTGGATAGAAATTCATTGAGTATGGATTGTAGAAAAACAAAAGCGCGTCAACATCATGCAGATCACGGTTGTGTCAGCCGCTTGGGAGCAAAATTCGACTTTAAGAAGAAATCATGATGTTTGAAGTATTCGGTACACTGGTAAACTACAAAGCATTCCAACACGTCAGCCTGTTCGAACACGGTCGCCTGAAGTAGCCACGTGAATCCTCATTGTGTCAAGCATAACGAGATTGATGGCATTCTGTGCTGATTTACGTTGGTTGCCCTACCAATAACCTCCACATGAGATAATCCGAGGGGCTTGGACCAAGTGCATTAAGAGCGCCATCGCCCGCAAGGTCCACCGCAGAACCGTTTACTTATCCTAGCAAGGCTAGCGACTAGGCTAATGGCAATATAAATTTCATAATTCCGCGTTTATTTAGATATGGCTAGGATTAGACTGCCGGGTTTGTGTTCTCGAATAGCCGACAATTTTGATGTTTCAACCTCGCTGAATCAAGCAAATGAACAACGCGTGGGGCGAATGCATGCGAATGCGCGTGTGCAGTGTGGGCTTCTACTCGGAGCTGCAAAACTCACTATCCGAGAATTCGTGGAAGGTGTGACAGCGCGGCGTCTGACGGCACAAATTTCGACGAAGAACTACCTGCTCGGGGCCTGAAACAGTGATGAAGGGGGCAGAGACATGACTGTGCATGACATTACGTCAGGCCGTTGCCTTACGCCCGCACCTGTTCAACCCCCCGGGGCTATAAATGGTGCCGCGAGGGGACACACGGATTACCCACATGATCACGATTCCCGTCAGATCCAGTTGTGGGTAGTAGGGACATGTGTGACGTGCTGCTTACAGTTTTTAACCAAGACAGATATTAAGGAAAAGAACATTAATATCCACATAACCGGTTTCATCTGCATAACCGAGAATGAAGTGATGAGGATGATTTTGAGCGAGTGACGGTAGTTAATTTGGGCGCAAATTGCTACTGACCTGAACACAGTCCCTACCAGTATTAATCACCACTTCAGGGTCCACTTAGTGTGGTTGGGAAACTGGGTGAAACGTCATGGTAAACAGGGGGGTAATGTCGACGCCCACTTACCCTTGCCACAGTCAGGAGCGGCTACGCGTTTACGCCACTGCTCTTGGCTCGCGGCGAGGTCGTTTTGAATCTGGTAGACACTCTTGTTGGGCGTGGATTCGCTTTCTCCGCGAGCCTGATTTCGTCTCTTCCACTGCTCACTGTTCTCCTGTATTTGTGCGATCCTGGTGAGAAGCAAAATTCGATATAGTGACTGCGACGGCTAATAATTCCTTTCGTGTCAACAAAAAGAGCCCTTACGAGAACGTACGTTAAGTGACGTGGTCAGGACATAGACTGCATGGTAATTCTGGAACGAGTTGAAATCAATTTAAAGCAACTGAGCCAATCTAAGTCAACACTAAAGCATGCTAGCAACATGAGGCGAAACAGACCACATTCCAGTAGACACAAAGGCAACTGAGGACCCACATCGAACCACGAGGAATTCGACAGAGGTTACAGTCCGACATGGGGGACGACGCTGAGATTTCAACGTCAAGTGTTCAAGTCTGCCGTACCAAAAGGGACCAGTACGATTGAATAGTGCTGCCATACACTTCCAAATTGTCACGAACATTACGGTATTGTGCAGTTAGGTCAAATTCAGCACTCCCAGTGGTTTTCTACCAGATCGAGCCCGAAATAAGGATGGTGTTTTGTTATAGTCGGTCAGAAGTGGGGAACATAAACAGCGAGTACAGTAATTGGGGAAAACAAACCCATGCGAACTATTCGTTACCGTCTTCCATGTATGTCAGTGCCGCAGAGAAAGCAAAAATGAGTGTTATCAACCAACACTACCACGCGTAAAGCATACACAGGGTGCTTAACTTCCCCTGGATAGCCCGTATTTCGTAAATTTTAAGTGTCTTAGAATGCGTTGCAACTGCCAAAATAGGCATTGCCTACGACCAACAGACCCACATCGTTAGAAATATACGAATTATGAGAGAAGGCTTTTAGTGGCTCGCCAGTGAGTTTGTCAATCCTTTGTTGACTTTACATATTTTCTGGTTCATGAGCAATCATCACGCGCTACCCTCGTGTAGAGGTTTCGTATCCGGTTACTCAGTATCACTGAAAGTACGGACATTCCCGTGGACAAATATGGCTGCTGTGCACGGGTGTATCCCAAAGTAGTGGTTACTTTCATTGCCGAAGGAGTATTTGCCGCAAGGGCTTGTTACTTGGACACGCCCGAGTCGGTGGATTACACAGGCTGGCTGATTCCCTCACTAACTACGCAGATGAAACCATGGTTTTCTGTGTGTCTTGGGCTGCTTGTTTTACTACCACGAACATATCACCCACTCGCTCATCGCCAGCTAGACCCCCTCACCAGCTACCCAGTGTGCAAACTTGGGCAGGTTTCGTAGTCTCGCGCAATAAAACGACCCCCAGACACACCTTCTCCAGAAAACCACTGAAAGTGATTTCACATTTGCCAAAATTGATACTTGCTAGTCGGTAAAATTTGGAGGCCTTGTAAAATAAGACATACCAAGAAGCACGGTACAACTCGGAGTAGTTTGAGAATACCTCACCTTTCCGAAATAGGCATCATCTTCAGGCTATCTTCAGAGTCGATTTGGGTGCAGGACTGCGACCTGAGTAAGTTGGGTGGTGAATCAAAATCCGCGGGCAAAGCTCGACAGTGCTGCTGACTGAGCCTCCATGTTCGATCGGCTAGTCTGAGGGGAATTAAGAGTCAGAATTTATGACTGCCAGCCGGTGATTGGACTGTTTGCGAGCAAATCACGAATGTGTGCCTTCTCGTTGGCACACGGAATCCGAACCCACCACACACCAGGCATAGCCGCGCGCAGGAGTTGCTATTGATTGGTGGGTACACACCACGCACGTCAACAACTTACAGCCACCCGGCATATGCGTCATACAGCGTGAAGGCGCATTGGCTAAATTGTTCAGCCAATCACTCTGCGACCTTGACTGGTCAGCTGATAGCTTAATCGGGAGTTGTCGCTGCGTGAGTCCTGCCGGTACGTTTTATGTGTTTTGCAGTTGTGGGAACCGTTACTCGGCTGATTTTTCTGACAAAATGAATCATTCGTGGGTATTTCACACATGGTCCGTTGGCGGCTTTGCTTTTCCACCTCAGCTTTGTCATTTTTTATCAGTTTACGGTTTCGGCAACACGCCACATTTTTTGCAGTAATTCAATTCTAAAGCCAAAAGATGGCCAAAGTGTCTAAAAAAAAACTGGCCGCCTGTAAATAACTCAAATCCGTGTGGGCCACGAAATTCCAGGATTTGCACTTTATTGGTGCGCACTTTGAGCTAGTAACACGCTCACGTTGCAGCAGCCCCTTGTGTTGGGGCAACTTGTTAATGACGATGGTGGCGACTTATTGGTTAATCAAATTACTTAGGCGATTCTTCAGTAATATGAGCACGTCTGCTGCAAAATTTCAGATTTATCAAATACTGGACAAATTTGTATGTGAGGGCCATGTGCAGTTGTTTAAAATCAGTGTGAGTAACGGCGTTTTCAGATATAAACCACACCCATGGAAATTGAACTACATTTTGCGGACTGCGGGGTTACAAAATAGTTTTTTTCCAGAACATTCATTGAATGAAGAGGACTTCATTTAGCCGTCATTAACTGTTCAAAGAAATTAATACTGCCTCGGTTATAGGTACGGAAAATATAAACTGCACAGCTTGTTGCTTAATTGGGTTTAAACCAAATGAATAGTGACCAATAGCACTGTTCAGGCGCATCTAAGTGTACGGCCTAGTTAGTATTCTACGGAGAGATTTACAGGCTTGGTGTCAGAGGAAGGAAAATAAGTCGAAAATGAGATTTGTAACGTTCAGCACATGCTGGTCAGGGTGACACTTCGGTTTTGACATCTTCATGTTAGGTTTTTAATGAAACCAATCACGTAGGGGTGTTTCTGCCTCAAACACCTTGGTCTAATTCCCAAAATGGCGTTCGGCGAGGTCATGGTCACACGGGGATGCGTCACAACTCCCCGCCCAAACTCCTGTGGCCGCCCACGTGCTATCAAAGACGTGTAAAGTCATGGTGGAATCTGATTCTCACACGATTGGCTAATTCTGGACTGGACTCTCTAGTTATATCAACTGTTGAAATCTGTCTTTTCCTTCACAGAGATCCAAGGTAATGTAACCTTATTTACGAAATTATCCACTTTTGTGTGGTTTTACTCAAGGTCATCTCGCTACGACCATGATCGCTTTGCAATAATGCTATCGTAGACGATTCATTCCATATCTCTAGTGACGATTCGTATCAAAGTTTAGTGGTTTTGACTGCATTGGAGTGACCTATCACAAACGTGGATTTGTTGTGCTATGTTAATAGCTTTCAAGTCGCCTCATAACTCCAATACCGGATTTACTACCGAGTCCAAAACATATTCTGTCTTTTTCAATTATTGTGTGCGCCTACCATGCAATCTCACAGGTACTTGGGGATCCGACAGCGTTGCTTTTGCACTCCGTGTTCAAAGAATGATAACTTAGCCAGTCGAAACTGAAGTACGTGTAATTTGTTTCTGAAACGGGCCGAAATGTTGTTTTAAAGAACCTTAAATCTTTCCGCGCACAATATCTTTTGAAACAACATGGACAATACCATGATAAATGTGCACAACGAAAGTCACCTTCCCACAGATCAAAGTAGAAGATGCGAGCTGCGCATGATGTTTTAGCTAAGACAAGGTTGACCTTGTCAAGGTCAGTGACAAATTACGTAAATCGCTATAACACAATTTGTTAGACTTCAATATCTTTTGATCTTAGATATTATTTGTACGCTCGTATTTGCTTAAAAATAAAATAGAAATCGATTTCAATCAAACCCCAACTGTTTGTGCTTAATTTTTTTCAACTAGCAGCGAATCGAAAATACTTTTTTAAATCCCTTAATTATTTGTTCATTCTAGACGAGCTGTAAGACTAGTTGAATTTAGAAAATGACTTGGTTTTTTGCAGAGATAACAGTTAAGGCAAGAAAAGGATGGTTTTTGTTTGACCCACCGATACTTAAGCCGACGTCTAACGGCTGCGTTCGTTGGAAACTGCATAATTTCACCTTCTGTTGCTCTAGTATTGGTGGCTTCAATTGACTTGAGCATTTCCGCCACTGAGATACGCTTCTCTCCACCGTCATTCTCGTCAGTGTCCATCAACGGAAATATCTTTTGGCAATGTGGTGATACCTTCTGCGTGGGGTCGCCTGGTTAGGATGGACCCAGGTTATGTTTTTTGCGTTTTACACAACCAACCAATCCGGGCGCGACTCTTTCCTGACCAATAAAACAAGGATGGTTGGGGTTTGGAATCCGACGCATTTTGTACAGAAACAACGCGCTGCACTTTCCCAGGGGTGTGGACGGCCAAAATCGTCTGTAATACACAGATATTTAAAAAATTACAACATTAGCAGAGGTCCTAGCTGTTCTGTACTACCACAATTGTTCTTTATTGCTATTCCATTCAAGTGTTCCTTTCCCTCTCTTGGCAACCACAATGTAATGGGATACCGAAATTATTGTTTCGCACTTCGTGCAGACACAAATGTTGTCATTTTTCAAAAGCATTTCTAATTTACCTAGAGTTAAGGGATTAAATGAAGAGAAGCTAAATTCCCTTTCTGATGAATGTTCATTTTCATTTCAGAAAAGCAGTGTATTGAACTTAGCTAATATGCTTTCACAGGAATGCGCGTATAAGCTTTTGAACATACCTCAAAGTAAAGCAAAATGGGAGGCTTTAGCACATTTTCAATCTTGTCACCAATGGCCCTTGTGGTGACAATTTGAGTTGTTCACATCATTATAATTCGGCTCAGTAATATGGCCCGTTGAAGTGATAAAATGTCCTCGTGGGTCATGGCAAGTTCTTTTCTCCATTCTCCTGGACAATTTCACAATTGGAAATAGTGCGGATTTATCATAACATCAGAAACTGATGAATACTGAATTCGGACATGTGATATAGTAAAGGTTAAAGGGTCACCAGTTGTAAAGCAGCATCCGTGGGGGTAATAGTTTTGTGCTGTGCCCCTTACCAGTGAATCAGAGGGGGTGGATGTAGGATTTCCTCCCTTCACAATTTCCCTATTTATCTCGTACCTATGCTCAGGAAATTTGGGCTTTCATAAACAGGCGTGGGATGTGTGAAACTCAAAACGCCCTTTGATGTTGCCGCTAGGTGCACGGATAAGCAGATTGCCAGCTTTGCTAAACAGGGTCTTGTTTTCTTGGTTGGAACTTGAAGAAAAATGGTCCCACACAAACTGGTTGCACTTAACTTGATCGATTTATTGATGTACAACCCAAGGCCTCCAGTAAGACAAATGCTGGAATGAGGACGTACAGTCACAAACCTGGACATCGCCGATACCCACCTTGCCCTCCAATTCATCCTGAGTAAGCAATGCTTATCAGCAAGACTGCGTTTGGAGCCAAAGGGACAAGTTAGCTGAGCTGATCAACAGCTCGTTCAGATTTCTCTAGCACAACGCGTTGAACCACTCGTCATGGTACCATTACACAATGATGCACGTGTTGGAGGTCGGGGTCGCCGCACCGAGTTGGCCCGATTAAGCTGCAAAGACTAAGGCGACCCGTGGATGGTGTGTGAAGCTATGGGCATTGGAAGGTCATGCCTGGCGAATGGGGGTTGTTGATCTATACAGTGTGAGTGAGCTTGTAAAAGTACAAATAGCTGAGTGGCCAGATTGAGTTAGCGTGGGGGGTGGACACATGCACGGGGATGTGACCGGACGAAACCGCGTGATCGATTGGATCTGAGTTTGCGACGACCGGGTCCTGAAACTAACTAGCGACTATCGGTCAGAACTTTCAAGTCAAGCGAATTTTAAATATAGGAAAATTGCCTAGATTGGAAAGTAACCCTCTGGCGACTAGAACTACATTTTTGCCATAGGAGTTACGGCGCGAAAGGCACCTTCATTGACCCAATCGTACGGCATCCAAGTGAAATCCTTACAAATCATACAGAAGTGTACTGGCAAAACGTTTGGCTGAGCTCTTGCTCCATTTTTTTATTACACGGGGCAAAATACACTGTGACGCAAATCTGACAATCTACAACAAGGCACGATTCCAATTTTGACGGTACTTGTACTGTTGTTTTGGAGTGTAGAAGCAGTAAGTAAAAAAGCAATGGGCGTGCGAAAAAGCGGTTCGTTCTTTTTTTCTGGCATTCTAGAATATTCTCAATCCACGGGGCTTCGTAGGAGACTGCGCGTGAGCGATTTCAGAGAACTCACTGATTACGCTAGCAGCGGGACTCGAGAGACAGGATCCAATTTCCAGATCCTCCTCTCTGAAACTGCCGATAGGAGAATCTGAAGGTCACAAAAGACGCGCATAATTGCAAGCTCGTAAGGCAACATTTCAAAAATACAGACTGCATTGGCTAACCTGGGTGTACAACTCCGCCACCCTCCAGAATACTCTGATTCACGCGGGCAATGTCGTCAAGCGTGACTGGTTGAGTTTTTCGGCGCTGAATGGTTCCACGGTCACTCTTCATTGGCCGTCCACCACCTGAACGCCGCGCGAAAAGACTGCTCTTCTCCTTTACTGAAAGTCTTAAATCATTGTCTTATTGTTAGAAATCAGTATCTTAACCGTAGCTAATAATGACGCAAAGCATAATATGTCGTAGAATACCTTTGTTGATACCGTCTTGCTTTGAATATCTAGGTCTGAATACATAAAACCGTGTTGAATCACATCCAATAACCCGGTCGTCGCAGCCTGCTCATTCACCCCTCTGTAGGTACCACCACCACCCGCTCTATCCACGCAACTGTATCGGTCAACACAACTAGGTTAAGTTGTCTAGACAACGGTTGCGCCTCCTCCTCTCCGGTCTTCTTCATCTTAGCGGGTACTCAGGGTAACGTAGTCGGCCTAGATCCAACGTAGTGGCCCCCGCGTGGTTCAAGACCACATGCCGAGGCCCCCAACAAATAAATTCTAGTTCAGACAAAGAGCTCGCTATGACTAATAGCTGTTTCTGATTGACTGACGAGATTACTAGCCGAATTATTGTAAAATAAATGAACGAAAATAGACCACCACGTACTTTGTTAATGGGTCACCGAGAAGGACTTTTGGTGAAAGCGGCTGTGACTCCTTCGGCCTGTTAACAACAGCCCTGCAGCTCAGCTGTATGGGTGTGCTCGGCTTCGCTTCAGACGAAAACAACTGTTCCCTTATCCTTCGATTTCGCTCCTCCTCAAATTCTTCATTGAGTTTCCTTTTGGCCGCCTCATTCTCCTCCACGATTTGTCCGGTATTGAAAGCTCGCACACGCTCCTCCACTGGCACCAACTCATCACCGCAGGCGATCAAGTCACGATCGACAAATCCACTCTTGCTCCTGCCTACCTCTTCCAGCCTTCGCTCCTCTTGCCACAGCCTCGCCCGGTCGATAACCGACATGACACTGTTGTCTTCCATTGCCATGGAAATAGCCCTCAAGTTATCGCTTTCAGGCATGCTTTTTGATTTTGTTGTGTTGCTCAAAAGCGCACGCCGGTTAGCTCGAACTGGCGCGAGTTTGAGTTTTTCCACGTATTCACACAGAGGCGAGCCTTTGGTTGGAATAGGGGTGTTCTCTCTTGATGCTGTCAACCGAGGTGGCTGTTTAACTGGCTGCAGAAACGTCGGAGTACCCAATTTCTGTGGCTCCCGTAATGACACCCTATGAGCTTCGTGCTGCTGGCTATGCTGCGGGCCGATCTGCTTTAAAATCGATTGAACGGTTTTCGAGGGAGGTCGTACAGGCACAGCTGCCTGTGGTCGATTACCAGTCGAAGTCACGGGTGCTTCAGAAGCCGGTTGAGGGGTGGTCTCGCGCAGCGTCGGCGCAGACGTCTGGACGTCCACAAACACAGCTCGTGATTCTGTTGCTGCCGGACTCACTGTCTGTTGCGTGGCAGGGTACACGGGGACTTGCCAGGCAGGTAACTGCGGTGGTTGCAGCTGTTCTGGTGGTGCCGAGACGTGCAGTGTAGGTGGCTGCTGTGGAACTGTCACAGGTTGTTGGTGTTGCAGCGCTGGTGGCGGTTGGGTGAAAGTCAGTGGTGGTGGCAAGGGCGCCTGCGAGACCGCAAATGGAGGATATGACGCGGGGGCAGCCTGGTATTGGGGGATAAGATAAGGTTGCTGCAATGGCTGAATTATGTACGTCCGACCACCCAAATCGCCACTAAGCAGTGCCTGCAGAGCCGAGGGATCTTGAGCGATTACCGCAAAAGCTGGTTGGTTTGGCTGCTGCTGCTGCTGCTGGTGGTGTATAAACGAGGGAGCAGAATACGCTATTGGTTGCTGGGGTTGCGAAGACGGGTTCGGTACAGGTAGAGGAGCCGTAGTGGTGTTAACTGGAGTAGTTGATCTCATCTGTCGTGAGAGACCGTTCTCGGAGAATGGCTCATAAAGTGACACTTGTTCCTGAGAGGGTTGAACTTCTGGTGGATCTGAGCGGGAAAAGAATCGGGGCTAATTTTTGTCTACCGATTAGTCATGAAGCCTTGCTTGCCCAGCTTCCTTTGTCACCTCTGTGGAATTAGATAATTCAGTCGTTTGTTAAGTTCTAATGGAGTCTCTTATGGGCTACCAACCGAAGATGGGGCACTAAATTGGACGAGTACTTAATTTTCTCTCAGAACTTTGCCTTTAAAAAACCTTGCGTAACTTGAATTAAAGCTCACGCGAGGTTGGTTTCCTATAAGGTTGCTTTTTCAAAGAACGTCTCCTTTGTAAGTACTGTTTAAATCTTTGGAGAAAAAAGTATTTTCGCATATAAACACCAGACTAGGCTAGCGAGTTGCACAAAAACCCGCACGATAGCATCGAGGCCTCCGTTCATTGGTTTCTAGAAATCTTCAAGGTCACTACCAGATCACGTTATAGGGCTATCTTTTTGCCTACGTGCATGGTACGTGACAGCGTGCGAGTGAAACGCGAAAATGGCACATGGCCTGCCTACGAAGAACATTCACATCGGTTCAGGCCGCAGGTAACGCAGAAAACTGCTTTTAGACTAATCTGGCACAAAAGCTAAAATAGCCATTTCCTTGTAACCACCAGGAGCTGAAAATCGGGGAAAGCTTTTGAATAATGCGTAGCAGTACCCTGTAAGTTTATTTAAAATTGACGTTGCCGGTGTAAAACGCTTGTCCGATTGTTGATACGCCTTACTAAGGGGTGTCGTGTCGTAAGTAGGGCGAATAACAGATTTTGTACAGCAAGGAGTGTGGAAGCGTTCGCAGCAATTTGGTAATGTGCATCGCTAGTTTCCACCGAACTACCGGCCGCCCTCAAGGAGAAGCGGGAAGGTGACTGAAGCTGAAGGCTCATTCGCTAGAACAACACGAATTCAGGCATTCTCAACTGATAGAAAACCGTACAACGATGCAATCACAAGATTTACTCGATTGAATACTTTGCTAATCAGCATCATATTGGAAATAAAACATGTTCCCCGTCGTCAGAATGAAGAGAAAGTAGAATTAACGACACATATGTCAGCCATGAAGATGACCATTGTCTGATTTCAGGATATCATTGAAAATCAGATGGTCAATAACTTATAATAGCTGCACTGCAATTTTGATTTCTCAGTCTAAAATTGACTGGGTGGAAATGCTAGACTGTAAGAAGAGGCAATTACTTTTCTCCGCAGCAATCCTTTAACGAAAGCAACCAACTAACTCCTAAACAAGTTTCAGTGAAGTCCGAAAGCACACTGGTAACATCAATGCTACTATTACATGGCAGTAGGGTTATTTAATCCTATGGTGGCAGACAAAAGTTATAAAACAGCCTTGATTCCTCGATTACTGTGAATAAATTCCCACAAAATGTGTGTTTGATGTGGCTTTTAGATCTAGAGAAGTTCAGAAACGATGTGGGTTCATTATAAGCAAATAAACGTGCCTTGGGATGATGAAATTATCCTGTTTAATTATCAACATCCATCAATGATACATTCGCCCTTGATCTTAACAATTAACCTCAGATTTGGGAAACCAAAAGACACTATTCGACATTCACACGTATTCCCCAACAAGTGGAGGAGTTTGTTGTGAATCGCTTTGATTCACACTTGCTAATCCGATCACTCCAACCTCCTACACAGGGTTCCCCTTTTCGCAGCATGTCGCCAGTCGCACGGATCCTCAACTACCCTCCCATTAGCACGAACTTGTATCTTGGATTATCCTCACACCTAGGTCACGATGTTAGCGTATGTATGACTCACACACCCGAGGTATAAATACACACGCGCAAACCCCACACACGACTCAACGACACCAACGTGGTTGAGCTCTGAAGTGAATGGTTGGTTGTGTCCACGTCCTCTCCTGTATTTTTGCTTCATGGCGGGTATTAGGGGAACTTAATTGGGCCAGGGTTAATTCCGAGGCCCCCACATGGTTCAAGATTACATGCACCCACAACAGGTCTAAAAGGGACTCATATACGAAATCTGAGTTTGTATTTTAATCCACGATGACACACGGAATTCCCAGGGGACCCTAAAAGTGAAATTGGATATAATCAATTTCATGGGGATATTTGACGGGTCTAAGGATTAAAGTCATAGTAATGTGCCTTAGATGTTCACATATGTCAACCCTCGAATCGAAAAAAGTGTACATGATAAAGAAGGAAAACCATGAACTTTGCACGTCCAGAACCCAGTATTCCTTGTAGCTGCATTAAATCAAACGATCCTGTTTCAGTACATAATACCAGGAATTGAACTGGCACCTTCCCGTCCTTCTACAATCGACGATTCCTTGGGAAATGGCGTATTACCTCGGGTAATTCCCAAATAAAAACCTCAAACCATGTGTTTTGTTTAGTATGCGGGCTCTTCTTTATAAAAAAAATTAAACAACTTTTCTAATTGGTTTAATAACGTGTAGTTGTTTTCTGATTTATCCTTAAACGTTGCAGAAAAGACATTCCATATTCACTGGATTCACGAATTGCACACCGCTATTGACAACGAACACAGCCAGTCACGTGATGTCATGTGACAAGTGGTTATTTTAAGCGACGGACGCATTACCCTCGATGCAGTGCACAAAATCTGCAATTCTATCCTTTACATTGGTCTAGATTGCAGGAAAAAAATGTGTTTTAAATTAGAACGTGCTCTAATTTAAGCTGAAATCGAGGTGTTTATGTGGCTCAATCAGAGATCATGCTAGAGCTTGTTGCTTTGGTAAACAGGAGGTTGACTCGATCTCAAAAATGCCAGCCACCAGGCTTCCCAGGTAATCGCCAAACCTGAATATCGTTTTACCGCGCATTACTTAGTAACAGTTGTCAGGGCTTATTTCGCACAGATAACTACATGAACTTATGAATCCGCGCTCCAGCTGTTTCCGGATCACTTCCCAAAATAGTAGTTGCTGGTTTTATTTAGACACAACTGGTCACGTTCGTATCTGGATTCCTGTGTAGTACGAAGACGCATGAATGCCGTTTGTGCTAAACTTGAAACCCCAGCAAAACGCAGGAATCTGCAGCCGATCCGCATTTTAAAGCGCTAATCCATGTAGCCATCGGTCGTGGTGTAGCTACGTGTCCTTGATTTTTCCCTAACTTCCTGAAACTGGTAATTTATGGGATTGTAAGCTGGGCAGCGTTGCCAAATTTCGCAGACTTAACATCGTGAATTGAACTTGAACGGAACCTCTGGCATAACGGGAAGATGCACATGCCCGTGGTGAAAGTTGGGTGTAGACACTCGAAAGAAATCAATTAAAATCAACATGGCATAGGTCATTGGTCTGGTTGTCCAGAGGAGTGCAAACTAGAAAGCTAATGATGGTATCAATGGCATTTCATGCGCTAGAGTTTGAAAAAGGGCCAGTGCCTGAATTCGACAATTTGCCCTTAGGTCACACTGACACGACTCTAGTGTCTTTTCGGCCTTTTTTGATAGCGATGAACAGTTAAATGCGAATCAGAGTTGCGAAATATCGCAAGATCTAGTGCAAGACCAAAGAGGGCAATCGTTTAGCAATCAGCCCATCAACCCACAAATGACAGGAATGAATAAGATGCCTTAATTGATAATGCAACGCAAGAATGCCAAATGCTTCCCAATTTCGCCTGAGAGATGGTGCTCGTGTAGATCTTTTACGTACACGCAGTAGGTCGTACCGAAGCAAAACATCAACCCACCCCAGTTAGAAAACATCACCGGCTGCTCTGGGAACCCGTCGCAAAATGGGTGGTCTTTTTAAATTATCCTTTCAAAGTAGGATCACAGCCCAATGCCAAGCTTGCTACAGATTCCTTTTACCAAATAATAAACGAAAAAGCCAAATTTTGATTAAACCGAAGATTACAAGGCACGAAGGCAAACCAAAACTGGGATGCTTAATTTCGAGGTTATGGGAAAACATAAGCGTGTGATACGATTGGTAAAGAAACGCATTTCAGGTATCTACATTACTCTGGAGCATTGTTATGAATCGTGTTTATTCACACCCCTTAATGCGGTCGCTCCACCTCCGACACAGGGTTCCCCCTTTCGCCTTTTCCCCTTTTCGGATCCTCAACTCCCCTCTCATTCACGCGGATATTTATCTGGGATTATCCTCACACCTGGGTCTCGATGTTAGCTGACCTATGAATCATGCATCTGAGGTATAAATACACACGCGCAAACCCTACACACGACACCAGTTTTGGCTGAGCTCGGAAGTAGACGGCTGTGTCCATGTCCTCTCCGGTCTTTTTCTCCATTGCGGGTATTAGGGAAGCGTAATCGGACCAGAGTTAATTCCGTGGCCCCGGCGTGGTTCAAGGCCGCATGCTGGGGTCCACAACAGCATGTTTTATCGGCAACTTACTAGGACTAAGTTCCACCGCCTGCGCAGTTGGAGAAGCAAATCTGACTCGAGAATTTGTGGTGTTTGTGGTCTTTGTGGGGGTTGTGGCTGTCGTGTCAGGCGGTTTCACTGGCCATTGTTCAGGTGGAGCGCTGCTGATAGGACTCCTTCGTGGGATAAATACACTGCCAGGACGAGCCTGCCTTGTCGCTCCCAGAGCCCTTCGTGGGCCCGGGGAGTGGGCCGTGCGTTGCTGTGGTGGAAACCGCTCGTCACCATAGCGTCGCATGAAGGACTCAGTGGTGAAGAGCCTGGCAGGTCCATTCGCCTGGGGCTGGGGTTGAGGTGGTGGCGGTGTCGACGCCTTCAACGATTTTTCACCTCCAGCGGATGGTTTACTTCGGTCCACGAGTGACGGCTTTTTCGTGTATTCAATTCCAAATGACGGAGGCGTAAAATCTTGGCTGGGCATCGTCGCAGCTCGAGCCAAACGGTTTCTACAAACAGGATGTCGCTTTTAGCAGCTGGCTGATGCTTCAGCAGAATTTCGTCTCCCTCTCAATTCAAGAGCAAGTTATTACTGACCAATGACATGACGATCATTGGTCGGTAAGCTCAGTACACACTCGTTTCTTTCTTCTAGTGATGCCAAGAATTCCAGGGCCGTTTTAGAGAGAACCTCGTCATAAGTAAATTCAGTAAGGAATCGGAGAGAAATTTTGCGCTGACTATGAGCCACATGCAAGATTCTGGACAGTTCAAGATATAATTTAGATTAAAGCGATAGGATTAAGTGATTATATCAGTCACTGAAGGTTTTAGTGTTCTAAAAGACAGCCCCGTAACACTTTAAAAAGTAAAAAGAGACATTCCAAGAATCACTTGAAGGTCAAATTGGCAAGCACAGTTAACGCACCAACTTTTAAACTTAGTGTTTTGATAAAAACAGGGGACACAAAGTTGAAGCCGAATATTACTTTCAAGTTAAAAAAAAGCAGGCTGAAGCAATCATGGTGTTTTGATAACTCAAAAATGCGGTCCTAGTAATGAGACTTCAGCATCGAATAAAGGAAGTGTGTGCAGTAAACATTTAGACAAGATTTGGTTCGCAGATACAGTTCTAGATTCGAAAGAGGACTCAGCAAACAAAAAGCTGTGGTAAAATTGGCGTTTGACAGGGTCAAAAGGAAGGTGAAAAGCAAAATTGCATGGAAATAACAGGATGGGTAGTTTTTAGAAAGACTGTCAAGACGATACTTCGGTAGCAAAGCATCACCACCAGACAGAAGACAAAAGTAGGTCCCAAGAAGGCAACGATAATATATTATTCGCCTCTACCCACATTAACTTTTGTGGGTAGAATCACGTGGTTTGGTGTTAGTGATACCAAATTAGTCGGAATACTTTTCAGTAAAATTTTGCGTGATCCATCGTGGAATACGAGGTTTGAATAAACAATTAGCAGACAACTTGAAAAACAAGCCACGTGACATTCGAACACGGGACATTCGCTAAAGTAAACAAACAGCACGATTGATGGCTTCACTGCCCCAGGTAGATACAGGAGAGGAGCGGTAACACACACGCAATTGCAATGTTTTTTTGTATTTCCACGCATAATTGCTTTTCGAAAATACAATCCAGGAAGCTGCGAAGTTTGCGGGCGCCAAGTCAAACTGATAAACGAACACTACATGTTTTTCCAAGCATTAATGTAAGTCAGGAATCCGTGTCAGCGAATGGTTATCGCTGCCGTGGAGATCAAACTGCCGATTACTGCGCATTTTTTATTTCCAACCACTCTCGGAATCGCAGGATCAAATTGCAAAAGATTTATTGGTTTAAAGGCCTTGAAGGCAAATATATTTACAGGCCCTTTCACAGCCACCAATAAGTTGGCAGTCATTTTAAGATGATCTTGCAATTTACCCGAAATGCTTAGCTAGAATGTCTTCGGTCTCATTATAGTCCGACTCGTTGAATGATCTCTCGTCCATCGAAAATTACGACAACACGAAAGCAAACTAGGATTGTGAAATCCACGCTGCGTTCACTCGTGCTTCCATCCAAATGACACTTAGTTACTTTTGCGAAAAGCTACACAAAGTAAGAGATGATAACTTACCATTTTCCTTAAAAAAGGTTTTCGGATGACACTAATTTTAATGAGAAGTGCGCTAATTCTCTAAATTGATTTTGTAGCCACTATTGACTGAGTTATTCACCCAGTCAGGCATGCAAACTACACGCATTATTATTCATAAAGTAAGCAAGTAAAATACATCAAAGGGGAAAAACATTTGAGATTTGATGACTCGGTCCCAGGTAATTATGCAATGTCGCTCAGACTCCTCTGGGCGTCTAACACTACGGAGCGATGGCATATAGGAAATCAGGCTTGCCAAATCACCCGTCTCTCCTGGGAAATGTCGGTGATGATTCATCGGGCGACAAATAAAAAAACGAACACAACCATGACCGAATGATTTTGTCGTAGTTGTCATTCGGCAGCTAATAGAAACACATGAATCACGTTTTTCTGCAAATACCGCCTTGCCTCTGCCTTGTCTTCACTTGGGAGGAAATCATAAAAGCAAACGAAAGGTAAACAGTTGCCACTATTTTGATAAGATGTGGAGATTCACTTGGATGTAAGCTGGAAAAAAATAAATTTTACAGAAGGAATACCCAAGGTTAAGTGATTATGGCATTAAAACTAAACAAACGGGCTTGAATGTATAGAGTTAAACAAAGCCAGCAGGAGGGAAATTTTGAAAATGTTTGCGTGCGGCTGATAAACGTGACCGAGTTCTTTTTCCCTTACGTAACTATGAAGAAATTTCATTTACCTAATTGCATAAGTGATAGTTTAAAATCAGCTCAAGTTGCTTTTCGCTACATAAGTCCATTCATTCAGAGAGACCAAGTCATATACGCGGCTTACAGGCAGCTCACAGAAGAGGCCCAAACTACATGCCAACATCTGTTTTAAACGTCGGGTAGTTCACCCACGTTTACAACGGAAATCGCCTGTTCCATCCAAAACTTAAAATCGGGCTATGATCACATAGTTGATGTCGGTAGTGGCGTTGCTTTTTTTGAGTTCGATGCACAGTAGTTGGAATTTTATGTTTGCAAATGATGACATAAATTGTAACTGATCTATGAACGCAAGCAACCACGGATTTGTCAACCATGGTAATAGTCTATGCCAACCTATAACATTGGCTACCCTAAGGGAACTAGAAGGGTGCAATTTATTATGGTCTTTCATTCAAAAGTAGCATTTAAGCGGTGCTTTTGCATTCAAGCAATATTTGTCTCCACGTTCGGTCGAAAAATGTTTGCGATGAAGGCACCAACTTAGGGTATAATCATGTGCATGTCTTGTTAATGCTTGTGGTTAGAATGCAATGTCTGCATAAAACGGAAGATAGAAATTAGAAAAAAAGGTGATTTGTATTTGTACACAAAAGATTCACTCCTGTCATTCCACCTTCGCCAGAAACTAACACCGATCTCTATCCTTTACGGCAGTTCCGAAGAACATCTATCCTCTTTCACTTAGATACCTAAATTTATACTAAACGCAGCAAATGTGAGCCGGGGACTGTGTACAAGTTTGCTTAAGAGAGATATCCTAGGCGGACTAGTAATCAAATCTTCGTATTCAAATGCAAGAGGACACCTCTCACTTGTTAATAGGAGTTTGCAAATAGGTAAATTTGAAATAAGGAGTGTATCCGAAGCATTATAACAGCATGAGACATCACTATTAGTAAACGTCGACGAAACCCATGAGATGTGGTCAATTCTGCGGTAGTAAAACACTGGCCCTAAATGTGGACTAAAGGGAGTCTCCATTAGTGACCTCTAAACTAGTGTGACCTCGGAAGAGCGTCTATCAACCAGTTTAGCTAGTTATAAAATAAAGGACAATCTGTTACGTTTGCCCGTAACAAAGAGAAAACCACTCAAATAACGGCACGAGATCCCTTCCTGACGCTAGCGCCAACCTTCCCACGCTATTACATGTACAAGACCAGAGCTCGCGTAGAGACCTTTAATCACGTCAGCCACGTGTTGAGTCTGTTGTCGAAAGTGAAACTAATTAGAGTCTAGGTTGACCTTGACCTGCTAAAAAGCGTAATAAAACACGTTAGTGAATTAGTGTAAATAGTTCCAGAAACCAATGACGATCAATTTTGGGGAATCGTGGATCCCCAACACAATCAAAGGGTTAATACAGATGAAATAAATAATTTAAGAGTGGTGGGACGATTGGTGGGTACAAGGACTCGTTTTCGGCTAAAGCTTACTCCCGAGAGGTTAAGGAAAAGGCCCAAGTGATTGGAATTTCTGAGTCTACCAGTGACCAGTTTCGTGCACTGGCTTGCTGCTTAAGCAAAGCACGGAAATCAAACACCTGACAGACAATTAAGAATAGTATGCTATACAAGTTACTGGAACAACAAACTGGCAACCAACCCACGTAATTCACAGGCAATTCTGTGAATTTCATTTCCAAAATCTTAAGACATCGGATGCCCTCCGAATCACACACACACACACACCCCGTAAACACTGTTTTTTGTGCACGAGCGAAGATCCCGGGGCATCTGAACTTTCCGGGTCTGCAGACCACAGAAGCCGAAAGACGCCATCGACTTCAATGTTTCGTGTATGCAAAAACGGAATTCAACCGCTACCACCTGTTGGTTGCCAAGTTACCGATTCCACGCGCTACCCGGTGCGCATCTGCATTTCACCTCCCTCCCAAGGTAAAATCGGCACTCGCCTACATTCGGGACACCCTGGCTTCGGCTGCTGCTGCACCGAAAGAAAAATAGATCTGAAAGAAGGTCAAATTTCGCTCGCATATCACAATTTCCTGGAACCATAGTTTAGCTGTGAATTATACACCTCTAAAAATTTATCTGGAAGGCAACCAGTAAATCACGGCGTAAGTTTGGCAAAAAATCTGCACTATGGTGAGAGTAGGAGCGTAGAAGCCCACTTAAGTTTTACCTGTACATTTCTGGTACTGTTAAGTGGTCGTAGACACACACACACACTTGGCAAATGTTTGGTGTCTTTAGTGCACTTTTCCATGGTGAATTCGAAGAGGACACGACTATTGATTATGTTTGCGTCTGTTTTGCCAAATGCTCTCGCCAAGGAGGAAAGCGGTAGTGAATCGCGCTGATTCACACTCGCTAATCCGATCACTCCAGCCCCCGACACAGAGTCCCCCTTTTTGGGGCATGTCGCCAGCCGCGCGGATCCTCAACTACCCCCCTCATTCGCACGAATACCTATCGTGGATTATCCTCACACCTAGGTATTGACGTTGGCGCATCTATGACTCACACATCTGAGGCATAAATACACACTCGCAAATGCCACATACGGCGCAACAACACCACTTTTGGTTGAGCTCTGAAGCAACTGGTTGTGGCCACGTCGTCTCTATGCTTTTCCTTCACCGTGGGTATCTGGAAGGCGTAATCGGGCCAGGGTTAATTCAGTGGCCCCGGCGTGGTTCAAGACTACATGCTGAGCCCACAACACCCATTGGTGATGGCTTCAATCAAGTGGCGGTTTAAAAGGGGACGGTTCGGCTGCTCTAAGAGCAATGCTATTGAAAATAAGAAGAAAGGATATACGGCGCTGAGTTTAGTTCATTCAACCTTGGTTGAGGTTGTTTAACAAATCTTAAGGCTGTATGCATGGACGCGTTCATAATTTTTCTCGGACAACAAATTTTGCGCTATTATCTCTGTGCTTTACTAGAGTGTTGCTGCAAAGCCTGTCGTGGCAGCATTTTTGTCAGCAAAAAAGTTAGTTATTTTGCATGATTTGTGCCAGTTGGTAGTTCTTAAAAATTAACGGCAACTTTGTCTTTTAACGGGATGAAACGGGCACCTACTGGGACTTTAGATTGCTAAATATGCCAACATTACTAATCGAAGTAGAAGAAAAGTTAAATTGGAACAAATTGGGCTTGATGCCGTTTTCTACAATACAGGCATGTAGGTTTAAGCACCCTCAAATCTAAATTTAGATAAGATCGCTTAATTGGCTTTGCCGAGTAATTGATTAAAGCTCTGATCGACAACAGCGAAAGAATTTTTAAAATGTTGAATCCAAAAGGATTATACCACAATTGTGTCTAAGAGGAGTTCGAATTACTCTAACCATATTCAAGGCTCTGTTATAAGTTAAAAACACTGGTCTTTCGCATTCCCAGTATGAGTTGACGTCATGTAGTTAGAAAAACACCTTGTTTATTTAGATCTGTGGCGTGGTTTAACTTGACATATAAGATACTAGACAGAAAGTAGTTTACGTTGTCGTAAAAAAAGACAACATGAGATAAACAGTGCCAGTATTTTTATAAATTTTGAACACATCTGGATGAAGGTAATCAGTACCTTGATGCCGCCAATCCAGTTTTGGAAGACCCCATGTTTGCCAAGATCTTACCGAAATATCTTCTCAACGGCTTTTTAAAGGTTAACATACACCCTAATCCTAGGTGTGGCTGTTTCTCAGTTGGGATTTAAGGAATCCAATCCTCTCCACCAACACAGGAAACGAATCGAGCCACTTGATTAGAAAGCAACGCTTCGATACTTGATTCTTTTAAGTCAAGCGACTTAGTGCGGACCAACCATTATCACTGGTTGTGATTCTCTCGTCTCATCAAACTCGAACACCAAAGACTTATTTGGAAATCACGCATGAAATGGAATGGAACAATTCCTTGAGATCAACAGGAAGTAATAAGAGACGTGTACACCAGCACGATTCATCAATTCGTGTTGCATGCAAAAATGTATGGTAATTACCCTGCAACGCCACATGTGCGCTTCAAAAACACCACCTAGGAATGCCATTTTTTGCACGCCAGCTTCACAAAGCATTATCACCCATGGCATGGTGAATCAAAATACGTTAAGCAAATTAAGCTACTCTACTATCAACAGTAATATTTCCGACAGTAAACTCAGGTAGCGCTTTGGATTGATACAGTCATACCAAAAATAGGTTTTGTGGTTTAATGCCTTGAAATGTGAAGAAAAAATCAGCCTTTAGTGGTGCACCAGGACAATTTTTGTTTAGAGAGGAGAAAACCGACTGTATGCTTTCTTTCCGAACGCAAATTCTTAACGCCGAGTCGTAAATTCATCATGAAAGAAAATGCCATCGCCAATTTGCAGAAACTTTTCGCATCTCCGCGTAACCATTCAAACTGGCGCGCCTTATTTTTGTGTTCAACAAGCAAGCACAAGGCAACAGGTTGGATCAAAATGTGTCGGCTTGAACAGGGTGAGATGGGAGCCCAGAAGTCGTGCATCGCAGTGATGTGTTTTAAGGACACTTTTTACGACCAGATGCGTGTCTTCCTGGCAGCCGAATGCGCGCTGGCTTCGCAAATGTCAGGGTGTGCGCGCGTAGCAAACTAAACTCCCACAGGGGGACAGGAAACATTGCCCAAGTGACTTAATAGGTGGTTAAAAGTGCCACCCCGATATTGCCGATGAGTCAGGCCAATCACCATCATCATCATTTTGCGTAATTGCACAACACAATTCACAGATAATCTGGAGGATGATGCAAGGCACTTGCATTTGGGACCGGTTAGGAAAATCGAGTGTCAGCTTGGCGCTAAATCACTTAGTTAGCAGCATACCATGCATCTAAATGTAGATTTTTTGGTTGGCGGTCATTTCCACAGATTGAATTTGCAGCTCCCTACTTTAAGAGGCTAGTTGCATCAACCCTTATATTAAATTGATAAACTAACACAATGGAAAGCATCACAGTTGAAAATATTTATACATGCAAACTAAATACGGCATACACGGACAGCGTAGACATGGTCAAACTAAAGTCTGACAGTTAGAGGTGGAAGTACGTAAAGACTGAGAGCAGTAAAAGTGCATTTGCGTAACATGTTGTTGCCAAGTTTCTAAGTTCATTCTTAGAAAAATCAGGAATCCATTATCATGAATTTAGGTGTTAAAAACCAAACGCAACCTGTCTGGCTTCCTTTAAAATACTAATTTCTTTTGAAAATTTTTGAAAACACATTGCTTTACTGTGGCTAATTCTGAAATCTGTCGTCACAAGAAGACGTGAATGGTATTATACATGTTTATCAAACAGGGGAAATGGTCTGGTGATACATTGTTATGAATTCACCCACCGTTTTGTTAATTTGGACATCCCTACTTTCCCGGAAATGAGAAAATGCACGATTATTTGCCATCTTAATTAATTATTTTTTATTGGTAGTTGCCTGATTACTTAGTAAAGAAGGGAAGAAAAGGAAGACTACGATAAGCATTTCATATAACAGAAAAATGCAAAATGTGAAAATCGCAATTAAAACAAAATATAGGTTGCAAATTTAACATTAAATGAACTAATAACGTTCCAAGGAGTTTTATCGTGCTTAGATTCAAAAACTAACTTCGAATTTTGGATTTCGGAAACATAATTACAAGAAAAAATGAAAAAAAGCAAATCACCATGAATTGTTTTACAGAATTATTCTATTTATAAAGGTAAATGTTTGATCAAACAATAGGTTTTTTTTAAATGATTCAGTGAGACTTTTGATGCTTGATTTATAATTATTGGGGTTTCAAGTAGGGTGCGCAAACTGTCAAATGCAGCCAACTCGAAAAATAGGTAAACCAGATATGTCTGCTTGATTCCTCAAATCAAATTAAAAAAAAGAACTTTGATTTGAGTTAATATGTGATGACGTTGACACTGGTTTGGGGTGATGTGAATAGATCTCGCTGCCTGATCACTTTAACCCAAGTGACTTGTGGCCAAGGTCTGGATCCAAGCAATTTCATTCACTAACTTGTAGAATAACATGTTACGGCATGATGCAGAGCGAAGTGCTTGGGAGAAGAGACAATCGTCTACCAGTTGTCTGTGTGTCACAATGCTGCGTTTACCGTGTCGTGTCTGAGTAATGGAGGATAGTAGCCGCTAAAGCTCAGGTGAACTAGTGAAATCACAAGCGATATGATCTCCAGATAAGGGGAATGAGTGGTAAAGGCGTCAGTTTGAGTTACGCGGACACCGCAAGACGGGAGTAGAGTGACGTAGGTTGTGGAATCACCTCGATTCATCATAAACCCAACTAGAATCACTGTAGTATTTGCACTGAAAACTAGCTTGACTCTAGACTGGTTTCATTTGCATTTTTAAATGACTGGACGCTCATTGATCGGTTTTAACGTGGACACTGCACCGCCAAGAGTAAAGACATGCTAACAACGCCATGACGCCATATTATTAGCCAGATAAATTAAGATCACTCATATTTTATCCTAATATGCGAATTGAGCCACAAGCTTGGGGCCGAAGTTACGGTTTATCGTGGAGAATTAGCCATTCTTTTCTTGTGGAATTTTACACATTGATTTTCTTTACCATTGGCAGATACGCACACAATCGCATATCCATTTGCATAATTCTTCGCCACATTTGCCTCATAGGTATACAAATTAATGGCATAAATCAACAAGACAGTCAATTCTAGTCAGATGCCTTTTCACATTGATCTAATCTATTAGAATTCAAAGAATGCAATTGTATTTAGGTGGATACAGTTTAAAAAAAGTGCAGTTAAATGCACCATGAAATAATCCGCTTAAAACTCTCAATTTTTTAAATTCAAATCTGACCTTAAGGCACAAATTACTGCGACACGCCTTTACAAGCAAACGCTCCACCGTCCAGTCAGCACAAGTAACGGTTAATCGTTTTTCTTCCGCAGCTCTGAAGGCATACAAGAATCGTGGCAACAAAACTTGGAAAGTCA